AGGAGAACATTCTGACTATCGTGAATAAAAAGTACGGTATGTTTAATTAACAAAGCGCAGCTGCGCGCGTTCTCGAACGGTTGTCTTTTTCTCCCTCTCGAAAAAAAAGAACGATAAATTCGCATCGGTATGCAGTATTCGCGCGTTTTGGTTAAAAAAAAAAAAAAAGAAAGATTTTGCATTATATTGAATTTATTTCGAGATTATAGCAGAAATTGTTAAATTCAGTAATGGATTGTAACCGCGAGGCGGATAAAAATAAAAGTCGATCGTAAAAATTACACAATTTTTTTTAATTATGTTTATACCGCGAATATATATACTATATATATTTTATCATGATAGTCTAAAGAGAGCAATGCTCTCAGAGCCGAGAGTTACTTGGCGCCGCCGAGCACATTCATAATATTCGCAACTGAGAATTCGAGTAAGATGTACACCGGCAAGAAACCCCTCGACAAGTGTTTCGCCTAGGGTGCAAGGTGGGTTTTGCGAACGGCGTGTACGAGGCGTGTAATGTTAACGGAGATTAGACCAAGCGGCAAAAACGACGGCGCGGTGATTAGTATCGGTTACACAGTGCTACGAAGCAACGTACTCGACGTGTATTAATTCGAATCCCGATTGCGGAATTTTTTGCCCAAGACTGATGAAAACTTCTTGCCGATGCGATGCACTGAATTTGTGTTCCGTGTCGTCCGATTCGACTTACCGCTGCAAAATACGATTTATGAACGGAACAAATAAAAGAGATAAAAAGAAGAAAGTTTGATTTAACAATTTTATAATATTATATTCTTGACATTTCACAATAGCTGTCAATACACTGAATGTGTTCCACGTCGTCTGATTCGAATTACTACTGCAAATATTATTTATGAACAGAACAAATAAAAAAGATAAAAAGAGATTGAGGAGAAAGATTTGATTTATAACAATTTTGTAATACTATTCTTGACATTTTATAACAGTTGTCAATGCGATGTGAGAGCCAATCTTACTCTAATGTACTAATTAGCGTTAACAACAACGGCTGCGTCTATTTCGCGAGTTGAATGGTTAAACCATTTGTTGTAGTGGCCAGCATTGACGGACCTGTCTTCAATATCACGAAAGTGAACAGGTTGCAGATGGGAGCGTATCTTTGCATCGCGTCCAACGGCGTACCGCCAACGGTCAGCAAGAGAATAATGCTCGTTGTACATTGTAAGTAGCTGCTTGAAAAGCTTATCTAATTGTCCAATTTATTGTCTAATTTATTCGAATAATCGTATATCATTGTTCTCTCACTGTTTGTCTCCGTATTAACAGTTACTCCAATGATTTGGATCCAGAACCAATTAGTGGGCGCTCAAGAAGGCCAGCAAATGACGTTGGAATGCCATTCCGAGGCGTTTCCCAAATCCATCAATTATTGGACGCGCGAGAACAACGTCATTATAGCAAATGGTACGTTTTTAGATATGAGATTTATTTCAATAAGAATTCGTACTTATTTTGGTTCAAATTAGTTTATATGTGTATGTAAAAATTTGCATTAATTAAATTATTTGTGTATAAATAAATCTGTGTAACTCACAAAAAAAATAAAAGTTCGCGAACGAGCAGACTACATTAAAAACCCGGAAAAATTCGAGCGCTATTCGGAATAGAAGAGAGGTCGGAATCGATCGGAATGATCGCGATGATAGCAATAATTAGAGAGCGCCCGCCAGCAATGACGACATTAATTCAATGATAACGCTAATTCTTCCAACATCAGCAATAATTGCAGCAGCAGCAGCAACAATAGCAACGGGTCTATACATCGCCACTTCTGCGCGCACCGCATGCGCGTTCCTGCCATAATTTAATGAATGGTAATCGGACTCCGCTTCGCCGACATACTTAACCATGCTTTACTAGCCAACAACGCACGGTCACAGGTTCTGGTTTGCTCATCGAATCCCATTTATGTCGGTACGCCAGAAATTAAAGGCTAGGGGGGACGAGCGGATCGCGATTCTGACAAACCTATTTGCCAGCGGCAAACTGGATTTTGTTTCCCAAAGCACGTATTCAGCTGGAGATATTTCAGAATCAGAAAAAAAAACACCGTTCCCACCATGTTTCGTATGATCAATCTCGTGACGAGCAATACACACCGGACCTCGATATATTATTCGGGAGAGTCGCGAGAGACAATATTAACAATAATTACGCGCGTTCTCCCGACGTGGCAATTAATTTGTGTACGGAGTATCACGCGCGGTACAATCAACGATCTTGTCCAACGCAGGAAGTGATATTTGCGGCAGCCGCAAATACACACAAACCACCTAGGCGAGATGTGGCAAATCGGGCATGACGCGGTGGCACACGCGGCGCGTTTGGTCGGTGCGTTACCGAAAAGCGGCGCGGCCCGCACATGTGCGCATAATTATTTCGGATAATTAGACACGACGCTGCGCCGGGTAGCGTATGGAGTAATGCACCCCCTTCGGATCCATTAATGCGCGCGGCCCAACCGACACGGGGGGTTTCGCAGCGCGCGGATGTGCAGGACGCGCGGGTAAGAACGGGCGGCGCGGCGGCGACGGTGGCGTCGTCCGCGCGCCGTCGCCGACGCCGTCGCCGTCGCCGTCGCACCCGTGTCTGCAGCTGCTAATCGCGCAGCTAATTAGGTTAATTTCGGATCGCTTCTGCCGGCGCACCTGCGGCGCGAACACCGAGCGAACGAGCGGACGGGCGAGCTAGCGACGGCGTTTTGCTACCGGTGATCGATGGCCCGGAAACCGGTACGATTTCCATTCGGCGACGCCGACGGAGATTAATCTTTGTTTGCCCGGCTCCGAGATTTTTATTTCACAGGCTGGTTTTTCGGGGTGAAATGGCAAGACCGGGCAGGACCGCCCCGTCGCGTCGCGGCTGAATAGTTTCCGCTTATCTGCGACGGAATCTGGTCCTGAATAAACCACGTTAACAACGACCGCCGGTGACTTATGGGAATGTCACTTTTTACCGTGGAGTGACAATGCACGATAAACGCTGCTGTGCGCTGAACGCGGCGATTGCAAAGTTCGCTGCACTATACCACATTTCTCGGGAGAAACGCATTAGCTCTAACAGATTACATTTGATTGAATGCAACTCGCGTTCCATGATTATTTGATTATATAACTCCCTAAAAGTCGAAGAGCGAAGTATCACTCGAAACGAGTGAAATGCAAATGTAACGAAGAGTGAAAATTGAGCCCCTGCACTTCGAGTGATTCATCATCACTCTAAGAAGGAGTAAAATTACGCTCTATAAGTTGGAGTGAAATCGCACTCCATTTGAGTGAAAGGGTATCTCTTTTCGAGTGCAGTAGATCAGTGTCCATAGGAGTGAATTATGTCACTCTACAATTTTGAGTGAAAATTTCGTTCTTTTAGAGTCATTTATCAATCGATTTTTATAGTAAGTCGCGATTTACTATAGCTTTAGACTTTAAAGTGAGATCGTATCACTGCAGTGGAGTAGCCGTTCTAAAAATTTGAGTAAAAAATTCACTTCTACCTCATGAGTGCCCGCATTTACTCAAATTAGAGTAACAACTCTCTCTTTCGAAGTGACTAGCGTAACCACTCTAATATAAGTGGCGAAGCCACTCTATAAGATTTAGAGAGAAGCCATTGTGTCAAAATTAGCTGCAATTCAACATCGCGGAGAAGTTTCCCCCGCGAGGATTATACGATCTTATAAGATACTCGAAAGTAGAGTAGCGAATTTGTGTTTTGTGCGCGGCTCAGCATTGACTTTCAATCGGATCGGAATAAAAATCCCGTAAAACCGAAGGCGATCGTTTCGCGGCTTATCTGCCGACCCCATGCCCGGATGGGAAGCACGCGAATTACGAATGAGCTAACTGTCAGGTTATCTCGTATTATATTCCCCGTGTCAACCGCACATACCCCCCGGCGTTTCCCCGTGTAACAGTTACGACATGCTTTACGATTTAACGTTTCGCGCGGATACGCGCGCTGGCCCGCTAATGCGAATTCAGCGCGCGTGACTCACGCACGATCAGATATCGGGCTGTGCGCGCAAACCACGCATCGGACCGTCATCTGCGTGCACCGATTTTCGCATCGAATCGGCCATTCATCGGTAACGCGACACGTGGTGAATAGCGTGTGCGCGAACACTCTGTCCTCTCTCTGTGGATTCCCGATTCCCAAATCGATTCGAACATATTCGCTCGGCGGAGATTGTTATTCGGCTCGCAATTTTCCATTTTTTTTGCGGAAAAATTTGGCGATAGGACTGTTACGCGTTTCGGTGGTATCCTTTTTAAACGACTCAATAACGATATATGTCCGTGTATACACTGTATACCTTTTTTGCCGATAAAAAACATATGCCCCAGTGAGTTTTAATGCAATCAGAAACCAACTGACCTCCAGTTTGCGTTCAGCTATAAAACGCGATTCGTCGCGAGAGCGCGTCGCGATTATGAGAAAATCGCCGTTTGTTTGAGATTACACCGCGCCACGCGCGAATCCGACCGAGGCATTCAAATTTCCGGTGGAGCGCAAAAGTTTTTACCGATATCATTGAAAACAATTTTTTTCCTCCCAGCAAAACATCGCGCGCTTAAAGCTTTTGCGGGCATATCTGGCGTCGAATATCTTGGGGAAAAATTTTGAATTTTCCTATCCGGGACTTCACGCAAATTCTAAGTTTCGTCGAGCGTTTCTAGTCACGCAGCTCGATCGACAGAAACGCTTACATATGACAGATATCACGCTGTCCCGTCCATTCTCGCGGGAAGGAGGGGGCGGTGCAACTCGAGTCGTAAAGCGACGGAAAGTATTCTATTATGCCGCTGTATGAGGATGGAAATCATATGATGGAAATAGTCGTCTGGTAATATCGTTTGCAGCATGGCAATGCAGTAGATATATGAAAAAGAAGAGAGAGCGAGAGAGAGTCCCCATATATTTATACTCTTTAAATCTCATAGAGTTTCGCCACTAATATGTTAGAGCGATAGTCACTCCAAAAGAGAAAGTTACCACTTAATTTAAGTAAATGCAGGCACTCATACTCATAAGGTAGGAGTAAATTTTCCACTCAAATTTTTAGAGTTACTTTACGATTACTCTACCGAAGTGATACAATCTCACTCTAAAGCTCTAAAGCTATAGCGAATCACGATTAGGATCTGCGATCACTAAAGATCAATTGATAAATTACTCTAACAGAGTAAAATTTTTCTCTCAAAATTGTAGTGTGACAATTCACTCTTATGGACACTGATCTACTGCACTCGAAAAGAGTGCCTTTCATTCAAATGGAGTGCAATTTTACTCCAACTTATAGAGCGCAATTTTACTCTTTCTTAGGCCTTTCATAGTCGGTTCTTATATTTAAGACCATTTTAAGTACAATCTTAAGATGTCATTAACCAATTACAGAGCCATATTAGCATCTTAAGAAGCCTATTACTTAAGGACGTTCTCCAGCTCCAGTCGTGCTCAACTTGTGTATTCATGCTTAAAAAGAAAAATTAATTTTACTGAAGTTAATTGTTTATATATACAAAATATTACATGTAACATTTAAAAAATAAGAAGTTAACTTTACGCGTGAGAACTCATGCGACGTAAGTAACTGACGCCTCTCCTCTTCTGTCATTCTGAACCGAGCCAAAAATTCATCAAATCGCGTACTTTACACAAGTATTTCTCGAAACCGAAGTATCGCAAGGGTATTGACACTTATCGCATATTATTTCTATTTTTATGGAGCATCGTATACTAGTTTTTCAAAAACATTTAGAGAAAACTTTTTTCACAGTTCATTATAATGTCTGTTTCACAATAGCTCGGAATAGGAATTCCATGTTAAAAGTTGAAACTTTGAAGCTCGATTTTTAATACCGCAAAAGGTACTGAAATTTATACCACGCATAAAACACACCTAAATTAACGTATATTCACAGTTTCAAGAAAATTTAGAGAAAATCGATTTTCCGGAGAACGTCCTTAAGACGGTCTTGAAATAAGATCTGATTATGAATACCGGCCTTAGAGTAGCGAATCACTCGAAGGACACAGGCTCAATTTTCATTTTTTGTTACACTTGCATTTCACTCATTTTGGGTGATATTTCATTCTTCGACTTTTAGAGAGTATATTATATAAATAATGTATTAACAAATCTCTTTTCTTTTTCTAAGTTGCATTAAACGTTTTTCAAATAAATTTTTTAAACTCTGCCTTGAGAAGCTGCTTTCATATGTTATTATGATTTAAAAAAAGGGTAATTTTGTTCGATAATTAATTATCGAGAATAATATTGACAGTTCAACATATTTTAACAATAGAGAATAAAGCTACAAAATTATTATTACATTACAAAATAATATAATTATTGTTATAAATTTAAAGCCGTTCGAAGGATATTTGGAGGGTGATGGCGAATTCGGAATTGCCCCAGATCGTTGACAATAGGATTACGCCGTAAATCAGTGCCTTTGGAAAACATAATCTGTCAGTAGGCAAACACGCGTTACGTGCGCGCCGACACACCGATTCATTTTCAGCATAGAGTTCCCGACGGTTGGCAATTACGCGATATTTAACGTTTCTCGCTTGCCGACACGCCGGGGGTTTGTGTGCGTCAAATTAGATCCGTCGGCGTTAAACTCATTACAGGGACTTTGCATTTCTTTTTTTTTCTTTCTTTTTTATGTTCGCGACCGAACTGCGTGCGCCCGGTCTGCTTTTAAAAGAATGCATTCTCGCGACTTGTACTCCCCACGCGACAGTTCTGGATATAATTTCTCTCCCGGAGAAAGAGGGAGAGAGAGAGAGATTTCATTTTCAGCGTTAATTACATTTCGGAGACTTAATGAATTAAAATTAAAAACCTTGACAAAAGAATATCCCTTTCGCGCTGCGGAATTTTAATAGGAAGCTCTTAACAGAAGATTTGCAGTGTGCTTCTGTGAATAAATCTTCTCGCCTGTGTTATAAGCAAACGTGCGTTATCGTACCAGTTGTGCTGTGATCAGATCTAATTGATTTTACACAGACATAATTTTTCGTTATATTTTATTTTTAAAATTACTACAAACTTAGGACAATTTGACAACCAACTGACCAAGCAGATTGGTAATTTTTGAAAATTTATTGAAATTTTACTATAGATTTTAGTAAAACAAGTCAAACATATTTTATATTTTATTGTAATAGATATTAATCAGAATAGCTCGCAAAAAAATTCTTCGTGAAATATGTGTTGTCCCACAACTACCACGATTTTCAGGGTAAATTCTAAGAGAAAGCTCTCTCTGTGTACAACCAAGATTCGGCAACCCAAAAATTCTTAAAAATCTGAAATTGCAGCAATAAAGTAAACATGTGAACTTAATTATGTAATAATTTTCTGTTTTGACTGATAAATAATTCTAAGGGTAAAAACATTCCTTCATAGGCAATCTGACTTTTTATGAAATTGTCCGTTTTATCGGCTCGATATCTAACTTCTTTTATTACGATGGAATTGTCTCATTTTTTTTTTTACGATTTCACATGCATCAAGCATAAAAACCGGATTGCGTTCGTAAAAGTCTCCAAGTATCGCGTGATCGATGACACGGGCACGTGATCGCGGAAACGACGGCGTTAGGCGAAATTAAGCGTGAGCGATCGCCGCAGATGGAAATTACGTCGGCAGTTTGAGTTTCCAAGTCAGCGTGATTCATGTCCACATATGTCGGCGGCGGACCCGCGCTCCGACGACGACGACGAGGTGCGGAGATACGAGTAACACAAAATATCGGTCCCACCGTCGACTTTTGGGTTTAAAAGCAGTTTTATTCCCGGGCAAAATCCATTCGCGGGCCTCTGCGCCCCCTCCTCGCCGCCCCCCGTCCCCTGCCGCCGCCCCACGACCCATGGGTAATGCTCGGCACCGTAGTTCAACGTCGTTAAACTTTTTCATCTGCTTTTCAAACTCAAAGCCGGCCGAAAGTTTTTCTTCCGCTTGTGGGGCTCGAATGGTGCCACTACATAAATGCATTCTACCCTTCCGTCCGCCACCCTTATTCCACCTGCTCGCCTGGCCGGCTGCGCGCGGCGCGGCCAGGCTCCGTTCTCTCCACCATCTCGATTTCTCGAGCCCTTTTCTCCACACATTTCTCTTTCTCTATCTCGGAAAGACGTAAGTTTTCCTCCTGGACTGGGAAAATACTTGGTCTCCGCCTTGCCGCGGGTCATTACACCTATAGATTTCACTCTCTTCCGAATGCGCCACCACCTCGAATTGTTAATCAAAACTTCTTTCCGCGTTCGCGCGCCCCGCTTCGATCCGCTTCAGAAGGCCTCGCTACGTCACTTTTCAACCACCGAGACGCTATCGAAGAGAGTCGGAACGTTAATGCTTTTCTCCGACTTACCGAATTATAATTGATCGATTATTTTACGATTTATTTTGGTTGCTCTGGATTTTTCTGTGGCCCCCTATGCTTACGGAAATTTTGTTCAACAGGGACAACCCTGATGAAAATATCTTACTGAAAATGTAATGAAATTTTACTGAAATGTATTTGAAATTCTCCCTCAATTGATTCCATTTCATTATTATCCCTAATATTATTAATATATCAGTAAAAATTTAGTTTTTAGTTAAAGAAATTCAGTAAATTTTATAATATCTAATATTAAAAAAAAATCGTTATTACTTTTTAACAGTATAATCTAAAAACTTTCCTTATATTTTACAGTATTACATTACATTTCGCAAAGAAAATTATGATTTATTTTGAAATATAATCAGTAATTTTTCAATAATTTTTATTTCATTTTCATCGCTTTTATAGTACTTTCAGTAAAATATTTCCATCAGGGAATACACTTTTAGGAACAATCGAGACGTGAATATTCGAGAGATAATTAAAGCAACGCGTAAAGTTTTGCGCCTTTACACAGTAACGGGCTTCTTTACAATTCATAAGTGTTATATCTCAGATTAGTGTCACGTGATCACGCATAATATTCTCCGGTTTCACTTTACTCTCGCGTCCACAAGTAACGAGTAGTTGGCGTGTCCGGCCACCATCTGATATTTGGTCGGGCTAAGCTTTCTCAGTGCCCTTTTCGAGAAAATGCAATTCCACCTTTAGAAATGGAAAACATAATTAATTTGTGTGTAGATATGTATTTCATAAATTTAATAAATAAGTTATTAAACGATTGTTCGGACGAGCAACTCTACTTAACAAATAAACTGTTAAAACTGTTACTTCAAAAGTATATTTAAGTTATTAATTACTGAAAATAAAATTGTATCGCGAGATAAGAAGTATTATTGAATACGAATGTTTCTCAGACTTCGAAAAAAAAACCGTGTTTGCCCTCGAACCGCGTCGATTTGCGAGAAACGCAAATAACGAGGTGAGAAACAAAGCGTTCGGAACAATTTAAACGGACGCCAACGTATGGGGCCAGACTGAAGCTTACTCGCGGAATATGGAGCGGAGGGCAGCGTGCAGCCACGCGAGAAACCCTAATGCTAGTTTTTCTGGTTGACGGAGCACGAAGCACGGTGGACCGTGAAGGCGTACCGGAAGCGCGGGATATTGGCAAATACATTTTGGAATATCGTTATATTATATTCCGTCCGGCTGAACGGCGGATCGAAAACATGCGCACGTACGGCTACTTTCAATTTTCTACGATAATACGCGCCGTCGATATAATAACGCGATGTAAACGTGATAATGCGAACGCGTGACGTATCGTCCACACAGCTGTATCGGGCAATAATCTCGCACCTACGTCCCTGCGAACGATCAGCACGCTTCAAAAATTAATCCGCGTTGACGCTATATACGGATGCAACACGCGACTGCGATAGGAACGGGTAATGTAATTAAGCTTTAAATGAGCTCGCCTAAAATGACGAGTCATATTTTAATAAAGCAAGCGTGTGCCTTGCGCCGATGTAGATACCGGCCCGTGTTGAATGTAGGACTTGATGCTCGGCTTGCGCGGGCTAAGTTCGTGTGTATGTATATGAAGCGATATATCCCCGTCGCATCAGCCCCCAGGTTTCTCCGCGTGTAAAACGTTCTAGTTTCAACGGAACCCAGAGCTTTCACCGTAGATTAAAACTAATTCCATAATTCTAACGAGAACAAAGAAGGCGTGAAGCATCTTTTATCTCCCGTGATATTTATTAAGCTTCCGCAGTCAAGTTTGCAACCTAAAACTGCACGCGTGCAGCAACATTTTGCCCGTTTAACACTGCTCTCGCGTCAAGGAAAAAGTATATCGTATATATTAATTTTACGAAGTGGAAAAGGAGCGTAAACCTCCGTGCGTAACGATGTTTGTCAAATTGCAGGGGAGAAGTACGAGCCATCCTTCTCGGACAATGTGTACAAAGTGCACATGAAGCTGATGATACGTTCGGTCGCGATGTCCGATTACGGCAGCTACAAATGCATATCTAAGAACTCCCTCGGCGAAACGGACGGCAGTATCAAGCTCTATCGTGAGTATATTTACATTCCCGTCGTTTTAAATGTTTTTATTTAGTTAACAGGCGTTGTATAATTTGAGCCGGAAAACGCGTCTATTGCGACTCTTCTCCGTATTAAAATTTCGTAATTTGCATGGATATGCAAATTAACGAACGATTTTGTTCGTTTTAATCCAAATTAAAACTTACCTCCCCAATACGTCCAACGTATAAATTAACATCCTCAAACGCGTGTTTTAACGGTCGCGAATCGACCGATCGATAATGTTTATTCTTCGTTCCGTCGAACATTTTAATAAATTGTATATTTTAATCACGCGTTTGTCACCCTTATTTTTACGCGTGATTAATTTCCTCGTTATTCCGCCCCAGCCTCGAGATCCTTAGCCTTGCGAGTTCCGCCGATCGAGATTTGACAATCACGTCAGCCCGTGGCACGTATGATCGCATTATATTATCAAATTGATCGCACAATTTGCGCGGGAGCGATCAAAAAGTGATTCAACGAAGTTACGATAGTAATATTATATTAACGTGATATATGATTTATCGCGGTCCGTATATCTCGACCGCGGAGAGCCAATATCGATTCGCGCGCGCCGGTTTTCGAACATTTGTCAAGCGGGGTCCCTTATCGGCCCGGCGACGCGCGGTCGTCGCTCGTCGCACTTTCTTTCGTTTCGCCACGACGCGACGACCCCCGGCTCCCCGCGCGCGCGTTATCAGAAATCGTTAGCCGGGCGATGAAGAACGTATCCAGCAGATGAGAAATTAAGCATCCGAGACGGGAGAGCGGAATCAAACGACGCGATAAAGCGGAGAGCGCGATTCTTCCGATGAAGACAACGAGAGCGAGATATATATCGGGAGGGTGGCGTAAGCCGGGAAGGGTTTTGAAAAGTGACGCCCCGAGACGGCAGCGAGAGTGCCAATCGTGCGCGACTCGCCGATAACCGGGAATCTCTCCCGAAACGACCGGCGAAGAAAAACGCCCGACCATGGATGCACGCGGGGGATCGACGCGAAATGGAAAAGTCGCGAGGGAAGCATCAAAGTCGGCGTGTTTTATGGCCAACGCACGTGCGCGACAGTGTCCGCGGAGAGAAACGTGTGGTAACGACATACTCGCAGGAAATGGAGAATACGTTATACTCGAGGAAAAATTTTATTTCCGCAATCGAACGCGGATTTGATCGCGTAACGAGGCGTGGACCGAAGCGCGTTTCTTTTCCGATCCGACGGGGGAGGACGGAGGAATCTCGTATCAATCATCGTCCGCGGACGGCAGACAGACCAGTTCGCCGGCATTTCTCTCAAACTTTTCATTGATTCGGTATCAAAGGCGGAGCTCATCCTTCGTCGCGCGATAAGGAGCGCGCCGTGAAAGTCAGCCCCGTGTCTGTCTCCCTTCCGTAAATCCGCATTTCCGGGAAAAGCGGTGCGAGCCGGTGAATCACCGATAACCACCGAGCAGCCGATCCTGCGTTCTCCAACCCTTTGCGCCCTCATCCCCACCTTTGCAAGGGTGCAAAAAGAAGCCCCTTCTATCTATCGATCAGTAATTGTAGGTTTTCGCCTTGGCGCGTCCGCAGATTGAACTTTCCCCCAGCTTTGTGCTTTACTGCGACCGCCGCCGAATCGGCGGATTACTGCTAAGCCGCTTAAATAAGCGTTCGATTGTGTCGACGATTTAATACGCATTAGCATTTTAAACCGGCCTTTCAATCCACGCTGAAAGTTGCTACAATGGCCACCGGGCGTTCGCGCGCGCGAGTGCTACTAGTTTTAATTGCTTAACTTTACTCCAGGCGAGAGACGCGCGAGTGAATGTTTTTTCGCTAACGCGATTGTTATTCGCTTTTAAATAAGATATTTGAAAGCGACGGGGTGCGAAACGCGGTCTTTACATCGCAAATCGGTTATTTAAAGCTTTTCGTTTGTCCATTAACGTTAATTGTTTTGCATTGAACGATATTAAAGCGGCGGCAGCTTAAAATTTATTTGCAAATATCAGTATGCCCCATCGAATATTTATTTCGCTGCAGGAATGCAATAACGTAACGCGGCGAGATATTGTCCCGCGCAACTTTATCCTATTTTATTCAATAGTAAATCGCACAGACTGTACATTGTCTACGTTATAGTTTTTCACATTGATACATTGATTTCATTATTGTTGCGTCTGCGAGGTCTTATTTTTATACGTAGAAATTTTACGAATGCGGCGCATCTGTTACTCTACAGTTTTGTTTAACAAATTTTATATATTTATATCGAATAGAAAAAAGAATATTAATGCGTCGCATGTTTGACAGACATACCAACGCCCACCACGGAACCGACGACGACGAGCACAGTGCCCGTTCCTACCACCGTGGATCCAGGTAGTGCAATTAAATAAACATTAAATAAAATTTAATATTAAATGGTTAAACAATTCCATTTCTGCGCGCCACTTAATAAATATTAAGACAATTGTTTCAATTATACGTTTCTTTACTTCTTTACTAGTAACAGTTATGTAGATAACTAATAAGAAAAATATTGTTTCCAGTGGAGAATATCCAGTGGTCGCGACAAAAGCCCGTGCCCAGTCTGGAGCCGAGTTCTAATGAAATAACCGACGCATCTTTGTCGACCGTCGTGAGAAGCGAAGGTACGCGCGGTTTCCATTATTCTCTTTTAAGCTGTCTTTCTTTTTTGCTGTTATACCGGCGCAGATTTTCGCATTAAACGAAGTTGAAGCCTCAGGAAAATACAAGATACTTTAAATAGAAACGCATTACACATAAAGATCTTGATCTAATTCTATTTTTAATTGTGTTGAGATTTCAAATGAAAGAAACACTTTGCTCGTGTGTTTGTTTGCTTTAATACGAAATTAAAATTCTGACACTATATGAAGTATTAGAGATGTGCGAACTATTCTAATCTAGATATGAATCAAATACGAATCATATACATTGTCAATTTCATGAAATATATCATATTTTCCTGAGTGCATTCAGTATTACAATTGCTCGCTGAACGGCTAAATAGCAGTCAAATAGTTTATTTCTAATTTTTGACATGCCCTATGACCCTATCAAATTGCAAGTAAAATTTTAAATATGCATACAGAAGCTATGAATATTGATAATAAAATACACTTATATGTTATTTTATTTTAATCTCTATATATGTTATTGGATAAGAGTATTTTAATAATTTATCTCTGATTTTTCGCTTAATTGTTTAAGTTGCTGCAACTTTAAATAAAGTATATTTATTAGTTTTATATTGAATATTTAAATATGTTTTTGCTTTAAAAAGAATTTACATTATATAATTAATATTTCTTTTCCACATTAAAATATTTTCTTAACATCTACATGTTAAAATTTAATCTAATAATAACTATATTGTTAATTAAAAATTATATTTTAACAATTTGATTTGAATGAAATTTTGTCAACTCGATTTGATTCAAATCCGAAAGAGGTAATGAAATTCGATTCGATTCGATATCAAAAATCCTTGAGAGAGAGATTCGCACATCTCTATATAAAGTATTAAGAATGTCTTTATTGAATGTAATTGCATAGTAATGTACGTAATCAACTTGAACACGCGTCTGCACAAAATAATTGACAGTCTCAACGTGTTTACGTGAAAAATGCGTGTGTCGTATAGGGAACGAAATTTGGAGATTTTGATTTTGTTACACGCGTTCGCGCTGTAGCGGGTAAAAGCAAAGTTTGTCCTTCCGTCATTTTAATACGGCGAACGTTATAAGTGGCAATCCCGCGACTCCGCATCGCCGTTGTTACAATTACGCGCGCCGCGCCGCGCCGGCGACAGTTGCGGTGTTGTCGAAACAAGTTTGAATATTCAAAGCTGCGACTGTGCAAACCTCGCGGAACTTTTAGAGGAAACAAAAATCAGATTAGTCGACTGTGCGACGAAGGTGAGATTTGACAACCGCGCTGGGAATTCAATGGAAACCACGGACGCCCCGGAGAGACCTGTACTTCCTGGTGATTGCAGATCTCCATTATTCGCTAACTGTGGTTAACGTCACGCGCAATAATCCGCGTTGTTCTACCTCGAAACGATTTCGAATTTCGAATGCGCGTTGCATCGAGTGATCACTGCGTTTAACATAATTTTTTTTAAGCGATTAAATTCTTGTGTTATAGGAATAATATTACCTCGTATTATACCACGGATTCAGCCGTGTTTACAAAATTTAAATTTCTTTTCTCGCCGTAGCAAGATGAAATTTATGTGTATCGGATTTATGTGTCCCGCTCACGGTGTACGTATGGCCGGGGCATTCGTGATTCAAGCAATAAAATGTTGATCTATGCGATCAGCGCGAGGAGGAACGCTTGAAAACACGTCACCTTCCGCAAATACGTTGCCGCGACCCGAAATTCGCCGGGATACGTCGTCTTAAATCATCGCCCCGCGACGTAATGCGAGAACTTACACGCCGCCGGGCAGCGGCGGAACTTTCCTGGCGGAAAGTTTCGCGGAAGGCGCAAAGTTTATTCCGCAAAACTTCCAGCAACGTGCCACGCCGCCTCCAAGTTCCTTCCCCGTACCCCCCAAAAGCCTCTCTCTCTCTCTTCCTTCTGTCGTTCTCCACCACGACAAACGTGGAACTCTCGACGGGATTTTGATGAAATCCCATGCGGTTTATGAACTACCGTGCTCGGCCCAACTATGGCAAGTAATCTGCACCCGGGACGCCGCGCCGCGCCGGAGCGTCGGCGTCGGTATCCGAACTTGTTTCGATTATCATGTAAACTGGCGGGTATGAGCGAAGGAAGTCGCGGCAATTCAGAGAGCAGCGAGAGTTGGACGCGATCTGGTTTACGATCCCTCCATCCACCGGGCGGGCAATGAGAATAGCGTTGCTAACACCGCAAAAGGTAACCGCGAAAGTGCGCTAACGTCGACGATATAAACCCCAAAAAGAATACGTAATAAGCGACAAAGATAGCGACGAAGATAATGAAAGATTCACCCGCCTCTTCTGTTACCCGAAGTAGAAGGAACTATAAATTTTTCCCCGAGTTCTCTTTCGTTCTCAATTTTCGTTTTTGAATATTCCACGCGGCGCGAACGGACGTCTCATCTCGTCGTTTGATAGCGCCGTAGAATGCCGGCTATCAATAATATATTATTGGATCTGGCGATAACGTATGTCTTATTGATTATTTTCAGAAACGCGACTCCGCGGCAGACCGAGCCACGAGGAGGGCCACGAAGCCGAGAACGTCATCGACACTGATAGCCACAAAAGCGTCGACAGTGACGTCGGGCAGCGAAGAATCGACAACACGGCGCAATCGATGTCGTCGAAAAGCAGCACGTGGCACTGCCTGACCCGATCCAGCGCGGCGATTTGCATAATCGTGCTCTCCGCCCTGTCGTAGTCACCGCGGAGTGAGGATGATTGAGTCCGGATATCCTTCCAGCTGCAGCACAAATCCTGCAATCTTTCCTTAACCGCAAGGGATCAATCAACCGGCGAATAGTGTTAGATTCATCGAAGGATCTCCGTCACTTATTGACGGCTGAACAGGAAAGACGATTATCAATTGGGACTATGAATTTTTATTTTACCTTCATTAGAGATTGGCGACATATATTATTTGTATTATAGATCGTTATGATAAATTGTACCGTCCCTTTTTTTCTTTCGTTCAATTTTTTTATGTTACAGCGCAAGGATGGCATTTGGCAAAAAGTTGAATTTATTACAATTATTTAACAAAATTGACATTTATTTTGACATCTTTCACACAAATCAGTAGGTTACAAAAAGAACAGGATGGAAATTTTTTAATGGCTCATCTTGGGTATATATATCTTCAAAAAAAGGGAAGAAAGGGGAAAGTAAATTAATTATTTACATACTGCAACAAAAGTCACGGAAAATCTCAGAAAATATAAATTTGATAAAAAATTACAAAAATTTTGACTTACTTGCAACATACAAGCATCAGTTACTGATCAAAAATAATAAATGTAATTCGAGCGATAACTTAACATATTGACTGCCGAATATGAGTAAACTCATAGGCGATAGATGGACGCGAGCTATTCGCCGATTTGATGTTTTAAAAGGATGAATAAGAATTTGATTGTGAGTTTTGATAAAGAATAAATATAAACAAGTAGTATATTAAAATAACATGCTGATATAAAAATGGCATCGATTATAGAGTTACTTAATTGTACAGTGACAGTCAACGTGTAAAAATGTCTGCGTCGCACCAATGTCAACGTTATTTTATTCGTTTAAGTTGATCGTGTGTTTACCTTTCATTTTTATCAAAGATCTTTTTATAAAGGATTGATAACACAGGTTTACAAAATTTTACTTATTTTCTGCGGTCTTGAAAAAAAGAGTTGTTTTCTATAGTATTTTGTATGCTGAATCCGAATCCGCAAGCAAAAATGTTCGATTACGTCAAGTTTACTAGAAAAATGGGGCTTCTAAAAAACATTTCTGACCATTTTTGAAGATTTGTAGCTAAACCCGATGTCCAAAAGATTTTTAAAACGATTCAAATTAAAGCTCGAACATTGTATTTTAATATGAGAATGTCAAAATTTTTACCACAATTTTTGTTTTTAAACCTTTAAAAATAAAGGGTTTAAGGTTTGATGGTCTCTGCGGTAAAAAATTTGACATTCTTATATTAAAGTACAATGTTCAAGCTTTAATTTGAGCTCTTTTAAGAGTTTTTTTATCGGGTTCGTCAGTGTATCGTCAAAAATGGTCAAAAACGCGTTTTTAGGGGATTCAATCTCATTTTTCTCGTAAATCTGACGCGATAAAGCATTTTTGATTGCAAATTCGAATTCTGCGGACAAAAAAAACTATAGAAAACTATTTTTCTCTTCCAGACCGCAAAATCATGCAGACTTGTGTAATCATTCCAAATCTCTTCGATGTGTCAGCGGATTTCCAAAGCCATCGGGTGTATCCTAGAAATGACGACGACGTGACGACCATTTTCCTTATCTGATTCCACCGTCACCGCTAAATCCTTCTCTCCAATCTTTTTTCTATCGGCAGAAAGGCTTTCAGGTCGTGCGCATCGTTAGCGAAACGAGATCTCCCAATTTCCCTCAAAGAGAGGTCGGCTGATTTTTCTTTTCGTGTGTGGGTGGCTTATCGGAAAGATTTCATACTCACATCCGAATCATAATTATATTGATAGAAAATCGATTATGGGGGGCAGTATTTTTAAAAAAATTTGAAGAAGTATTTACGTGTCGCATTTTTTTTTTATTTATAGGTACATGTCAAAAATTTATTTGTCACATTTTCGTTCCACGGATAAACAAATCTCTGAAGTAAAAACTATTATAAAGAACATATATCAGACTTGAAACAGACATGGACAAATTTTTCTTGTAAGATATGTATTGCTTGTGTTTCCATCGTTTATCCATATCGTTTTTAGATTCGATCAATAAGTAACTGTCGCCAGTGATTTGCGTGAATGCGTAGAAATTTGTATTGAGATGTTTATAATGTGATTTAATAATAATTTGAAATATTAAAATATTATTTATTGATATTTACACCGATTTTGCATAGAATCTCAATACTTGTGAGCATAAAGCCCCTGAGAATTGTTTTCATGCAGCTGACGTTTTAATTTTACTTACAAATATAGAGAAAATAGAATAGTTAACCTTGTGCACTTTACGCTCCCTAAGTAGTAACACGTTAACTGAAGGAAGTCCAGCCCCATTTTAATCACAGAGCCATTATATATTAAATCGCTCGCCACTAGTAAAATATTAAAGCACGAATCGGTTTATGGCTTGTGGATCATGCATGGACGATGAAGCTCCAAACGTTTCCTGTGTCCGTCATTTGTGATTGACGCAGCAATCAGTATGTTAACGTTTATCGCGATGCACTGGCAAATTTTAAAATTATTATAAGACATCCTCCGATCGATCGTTTTTCATTGTGACAAAAATGCCACAGATCTGTTCTAGTCATATCTCTATTCAAATGTTATTGTCAGTGCAGAGGGTTAATCGATCTATAAAGCTAAATGTATAAATTAGTATGTAAGCGTAGAAATTAGCGTGCGATGTGTGCGAAAGTACACGAAAAGTGACTCTCGAATACGGTGCATGGAATTGCAACGAAGCAACCGGGACTTGTAAATTTTCCGAGGATTAATCACTTGCATATATTTGTAAATAATATTATACGACCGTATGGATATTTCCATAATATTATCGCTGTACTAATTGTAAGGATTGATAAGGACACGGTTTTGTATATATTAAGTCCCCTCGAACGCGTATAAGATAAGAGTGTGAGTAGTTGTCGACGTTTTTATATATGTGGACGTTTCTGCAAATGAAGTTATCGTATCCCTGACACGTTATCAGGACGAAATTCCAGATGAGAGAAATATCTGATCCTCCTTGCGTTATTCTACCAATTAAGACTAAATCGCAGTGAATACCATTTTGAGTTTTACAACGGAAAACGTAACGTTCCTACGTAGTTACGTGCAATCAAGTGTGGTTGTTAAGCTACTCTTTAAAATATAATAATTAATTTACGTATAAAAAAGATTTATATTAATAAACCGAAATTAGTAGAGGAAAGTCCCCTATTATGAGATATCACATCTATTTTGCGTGATTGCCGGAAGTTTATGTGTAGAATTGAAAATGTAGTAGGCGAGTGCACGCACGATCGTATAATGAATTTTCCACTAAATAAGTTTTACTCTAAGAGCAATAAGTTCGTGATGAAACCAACAGATAGAACCTATTATTAGTTTAGCAGAAACCTCGCTATCGCATATTAGGAGCCAATCTCATAATAGGGGGCTTTCCTCTAATTTTCTCGCCAAAAATATGTGAAATATTTTTGCGACATATTACTTACAATTTTCTTATTAATACTGTTAATGTAATTCGATATCAATTTGAAACTCGCGGTTCAGAAAGAGCGTCTGCAAGCGCGCCCTTGTACCGCGCATGACAAGCTTTACGAGCTTTCGAAAAAATGGCGAGTTGTTTGAAATATCAGGTGATCAGGACTTGTACACTGCATTTATGGACGTGAAAAAATTCAACGTCCGCTCAATAATACAATCGAGTTTTGAAAATTAATTTAAGAGTATTACACACTCTACAATCAATTCACAATTCTACAATTAAATCACTTGATATGAACGATGTATGTCACAACTCTCAGGAGCTCCTGGAATCCAGATGTAAATATTAACTACAAGATTACGCGTACTGTAAAGTGAATGCAATCGTTGTAAATAATTCCAGCAAGCTTTATATGTTGTTATAAGGTGATGCACGATCTATCATTTCGTATTATTTACTTATTTGAAATATAACTGAACGCGTGCATATATTTCTTACGAATAATATTAATTAATCGAGAATTTCAGTTCTTTTTAGTTTTCTTATATGTACATCAAATTTCAAAATTATAAATAATATTTAAAAATTTAATGCCTGCAATTGAGAGCATCTAAGATTGACATAAAGTCTAAAGTATAATGTGTGTCGTATTCATTAAATAAATTATTAATTAAATTCGGGTAAATATCGTGTATCATTTAAATCCAGATTTTCGTTAGCCGTAGCGCCTGTCGATGAAAGAAAGATCAATTTGAGTGAGCTTATTGCAGCTTTATAGACATTGATATTCACAGAATGGCTTTAAATGAAACTTCATAGATGAAAAAAATCCCGAAACGTATTGTAAAAAGAATTACGTTTGTTTTCATTAACGTAATAGTAGAAATGAATCATGTTGTAACTGGATGAGCGAGTGCAAATGGAATGAATAAATATCGAATGTTCAATGTACTTTGTACAAATCCTATTTCAGTTTTATTGATTTATAAATTTCGGTTCTTTGATATAGAGCCTTTTGTAATAAAATTAATTAAATAATTTATTAAATAAATAGCATAAAATTATTCTGTATTACTCAATACAAATCAATATTTATAGTCAATCAATTTATCTCCTTCGCTTATATTATTTCTTCTTAAGAATATAATTTGTCTGCATTGTTGCATTTAATTGTATAGCGATTATTTGCGACTGAGATAGAATTGTAATTAACTTGTTCCGCTCCTTTTTAAGATTATAATCTTATCCGTACTGTAGAAAGATATAAATAAAGTTGGAGTTTTTTGATGCAGTAGAGTTTCCATTATTTGCGGCATTTTTCTTGATTTTTTGAATTTTACGCCAAATTTTAAAATTAAAAATTTTTATTTAAAAAAAATTGCGAATTTAGAAATGCTCAATAATCTTAAGATATTTTGCTTTTTCTCGTGTCTTTTGGGTAATTTCGTAACTTCTTACAACTTCTAGTGATCTTTCTTCTATAGTTTGAATCCATAAATTTAAAAGTGAAGAATTCTTGGAATCTTGAAATTCGTAAATTGATATAATGTAAAAAAGTTAATTAAAATGTACTTTAATTTTTTAACTTAATCTATTATTTATTTAAAAAAAATTACTTCTACACTTTCGCACATTATTATTTTATTTTCGATACGCGCATTTGCATATCATTTTAAGGAAGGAAAAATAATTTTGTGCTAATTGCAAAGAAATTGCTGTAAAATATACACAGAATACTGAGCACGTGGTCCAAAATAAACGTATTATTGTCAATAATTTAATTCTTTGTTTTGCAAAATAGATTCATTTACAAGCGATCTCGTCAACAGCAACTTAATTACGAAGATAGGCATGGTATGCTACGCGCAAGAATTGAAGCTGTCGCTCCAGCTTTTCTAGGAACTAAGAGACGTACGACAAACAGTAAGTAATAAATCTGTATTTCATGTATACACGGACATGTCCTCCTGATGCCGATAGTGCTTACAGGACTAGATCACGTGCGAGAAGCACGGGCAGTGGCGCAACCAGATCGGATCCAGTATATTGCAGCATAAATTGTCGTACGGCTACGCAATTGAACATCGTCGTTAATCTACGTTTAGTTTATTGATCGACTAGCTTAATTAATTAGTTACACACTGATCTATACCAGCATTATCGCGGAAACATTCATGACTTGTGTAAAGTCGCATTTGAATTTTACTGTTAGAGATAAGAATAAATAAACGTTCCTCACTTACCATCGTATAGTAAGTACAATTTGTTACAGTTTTTTGTCGCAATGGAAACTTATCGTCGTAGCAAAATTTTGTGAAATGCAATGACGTCCGAAGAGAGAAAAAGAACAAGAGAGAGAAAGATCTCCTGCGTTTTTATTACATACGCAGAGACATATACATATATATATAGTCACGCCACCAATCAGCACAGGTAATGCATTCTACCTGTACACACTATGACATTTTAATATTTATTCCTTACATATGACCACATGATACTCCACCCACGTCCTTAATCGCTATGCTGATTATTTTATTTAGCTACACTTCATTCGTATTATTTTTTATTACAAATCCCGCCCTTACTCTCCGCGATTCCTCACGCGCGTTGTAGTATGTCTGATGCATGTTTGATGTGTGTTATCTACAATGTCGATGATACAAAAGTAGTTGCTCTGAATATCTTCGATATATATATTGTTTAATTGTCGCAGTCGCTAAATTACTTAATTGTAAATAATCCGCGAGCCTTTTTAAGCACCGCATATAGTTGCAGTGTGAAATTCCGTTGACAAATGCTATTCAATACGTAATATGTGGCATAATAACCCAACTGTCGTTCTTAATTACAGAATACGCATATGTGACAATGATACTTAAATTAAGTTTAACTAAAATTGAATTAATCAAGAGTTATTGTAATATTGTATATTATCTTCATCAAAGTGCCGAAATTCGAGCATCATAATTTTGGACATTTTAAAATATTAAGATATTAAAATTTTAAGTTGACAGCTCTTGCAAAACTCATTATTACCTTCATTAATTTTCCAGAGATAATGTGTCTTACATTAAAATGATTTATTTATCTCTTACCGAAGAAATGAAGATACTTTGTGTGTGATATATCTTCCTATATACAATATTCCCGCAGAGATATATATGTACAATATTCTGCAGTGTTAGCTTTTCAAACTGCATTTATCATAATTATTTGAGAGTATATTTAATCACCGTCGGATATATATTAATTATTGATGTCCGCGCTATTCTGAAGTATTCAGCTTGGAGTGTTTCAACTTGCAAAGCCATCCTATTTACAAAATTAATTGCGAGCTCGCGAAAAAATGTAATCATTTATTGATAGAGAAATTACATTATATGGGACATAGCTCGAATTTTTTTATCAAAGATAGAATCGTCGAACAAAGGCTCTGCTAACTTAATTATCTCTACGCGGAAAAAGAATTGGTTAATTCTTTTATTTTTTCCGTGATAAGCTATATTTTCGTGATACGCTTTGCGTAGTTCATTTACTAATTTTATTATTTTTCTTTTTTAGTTTTTTTTTAACGCTCGGATAACCCTCTTTCTAACTAGATAAGAGCTCTCCTCTTTCTTCTATTGTTGTTCTTTATTGCAATCTGCTTAACCTATTTCAAAACTCTCTTTCACGGCCGATATTCAATAATGAGCTCTCTATTTGCATACGTATACATACATCAGTAAACGAAAACACAAAGCGCGCCATGTGCAAGCTCCGGCATCGTGATATTGTACTGTGATTCAGACCGTACAGGGTGTCCCAGTTTATAGAATGTGTTATCCAAAGCTCTGACAGCTTAAGTGAAGCCCCCGCGAATATTTGGATCGATTACGACGCAAATATTGATATACGTTGCGCAACGTTAATAATTAATGACACGGAAATTGCAGTTATAGCGCTATCGGTTACATATTCATAGAATAAATCGATACAGTCTTAATGAATGACAGATATATCTTACAATTAGTAAATAATTCACACTTTGCCGAACGTATTAAATAAACTGTTCTTTCAGTTGAGATTGTTGGATATTGTCGAGAAATTGTATTCTATTTTAATTTTACGAAAAACAATATTTCTCGCCACGGACCTTGTATCTCGATGTGGCAGCGGAAATATGAATTATCAGCCTACTCTGCATGGTATATTAGTATGTACAGTACGTTTAGAGCATAATAAAGGGAGATCTATTCACACGCAATACATTGACCACTCGGAAATTATTTAAGGACGCCAAGATCCTCCTCAGTCTTGTACTTATTACGCATATTATATACAGATTATGATATATGTATACTCTCTGACTGATTACTGAAACGTTAAGTACTCTTTATACTCTTCGATTCGCTAAATTGAAATTCAAAGCAATTCGTGGAATAAGAAAAATTTATAAATAAATAATTATTTTTGCCTATAATGAATTTACTTGGGCAGAATATGAGAATAGGATAAATTATTAATTTGATGTTTCGCTGGGAGAAAATCGACGGTATGCCGGTGTGGCATCACATGTGTTATACTTACTGTCTATATGCAATATATGTATATCAGTAATTATACTAATTATATACTATAGTACTCTATACATAGTATATCAATGTATTATACATGGTACTATACAAAGAGTTGTTATAGAATAGGTTTCTGTTAACGCGAAAATGTCCGTCTCGATAAAAATTCTGATGAACAGTTTCAGAATGTCTGCCGAGGTTTTTGGTGCGAGTATTCAAGCGATGACTATTGATATAATGCGCCTCGGATATTCTATGAGATTAACGTTAGTTACTCTATACACACACACACACATACAGAGAAAGATCGTCGCAAGTCAGGAGTTAACGGAAAGTCATGTACAACGACGCCAATCAATGTCGCTGCGCCGATGTAGCTTTAAAAAATTAATAAATTTATTTAAGAGGATGCGGCTGTCTAGACGAGTTAAATCGCGATGTACTAATATAAGTTCACGTTGCTACGACTCAAATACTTTATCGCGAAGTACTAATATAAGTTCACGTTGCTACGACTAATAGTTTATCGAACAAGAATTACGTTCTATGAAGAAAAATAAAAGTTCTTCTAAATAATATATAGTAATAAGAAGCGAACACACTATTGTCTTTGTAATATTATACTTTTCGCGTCATAAAGAAATAAAATTGGCTCCTAATACATAATCTTAACTGCCTGCGGAATTAATATAATTACAATAAATAAATAAAAATGTACATACAAACCTTTATATTGTAGTTTTTCTTACGTGTATATAAATTATATTTTTTGAAATATATATTTGATACGCCTTTAAAAGTTTATGGGAAAAGGTCAGCAGGAGTGAACGAAGCTCGAAGCTGTCCGAGCAGTTCATTCTTTACTTGGATTGGACAGCTCCGCTCTAGCATGGAGTTCCTCTAATAAGCGTCTAGACAGTAACTGCCTTTCCCTGCAATTGGTGTAGCCGCATCGTCGCGTCGTCGCACCGTTTGACCGTCGCTTCGTAATAATCGTCTCCGACGTTGGGGGATACACCGTTGTCCAGATAGCCAATTAAAAATGACGCGAAATAGTACAAACTGTCCGTCGTTCGTTGCCCTCGCTTCTTCGCGAACCATCTCGTTCATCTCGTCACAATGGACACTTTTGTTTGACTGGTCGTTGTCGGAATCGATTGAGCTTCGCAAGGGTGAAAATGCGTTGCTCTCGATCGATAAAAGATACCGCTCACACATTTATTATTTCATAAAGAATTTATTTAGCTGTATGCAATGTTATCTCAATTACACAGATTATATCGCCTAGCTATACAAGGAAATAAAACCATTGATAATGAGCAGATACAAGCTTCCTTTCAATTTAGAGTTAAGATAGATAGAGGATGAGAATTAAGAGCGCGAGGGTAATTTAGTTTGCATTTAAAAAACAAATTAATATCTTGACGCTGTCGTGATAACGTTCGAAATTTATGGGTACTTCAGTTATCTTCGCAACGCGACGCGACGCCGCTAATGCAACCCTAAAATAAATCAGGCGTTTCCCAACATTGTAACGTGATTCCGGCCGCATGGGGTAGATTTGCGCGCCGAACTCCGGTTCCGAAACTGTTCCGTAATGACTGTCCCTTAAGTCGTAATCCTCCCTTAACGAACACCGACAGCGCTACGACGCTAGCCGGGGGCCGCTGTCACTATACGCTATTTATAATATTATTATCCTATTGTTTTAAGTTTAAAGTGGTCAACGCAGTCCTCGACGATATTCATCCTCGACGGAAGTCCCTGAGCGATGGATTTACAAGTGGATGTACAAAGTCACGATGATGGTGGTGGTTCGATGATGGAAATACGCGTGCGATGGCGTGTAGGACCGTCGTGAGTAGATCTCAGGCCGGGTGCAACGTTCGTATCTGCGGATGATGATGGTGGCACAGGCACAACGCGACGAGGATCACCAGCAGCAACGAGCTGCCGTTGCTGGTAGCGCTGGACTCATCGTAGTCCGTTACGTCGCCGCCGTTCTCCTTATGACCTCGTAGTTTCAAATCTACGAGAGAACAGAGATTTAGAATCGTGTAATCAGAATAATACTATCAAGAAACTATAATAGAAGTCTGCGTTTATGTATAAAAATAAAATAATGATTTATTTTTACGACGTAAAACTAAAATCTCTTATAATTGATGATATATCAGTGATATTGGGAAAGAACAAAGAAAGATACTGAAGTGCGATTATCTCTGTTGGGATTAAATTCTGATTTAAATTTAATGTGTACCTTGCTCCTTTAGCCTATCTTGATTTCCCTCCAGGATGTTATTGCTCCCTGAATTATGCCTCGCTTTACCTGCAAACACAGCAAGAGATATTGAACGGTATCGTTCTACAAAAGAAAGTTTATATTTTCATATTGTCAATATTGCCCAAATAAATATTTGATAAATGAATACTCTTATTCATAAGCTATACCTTTTAATTTTGAATACTCCATTTGTTCATCTTTATTCAGTATGATTAATTCTTTATCGATATTAACTTCATTAATCGACAATTTAAATAAATCCATATCACTCAATTAGCAGGATTTATTTAATAACTTCTATTCCGTTATGTAAACATGTGAGAAATTCAGTTTCGGAAATTCAGTAAATTTACCGAATGAGAGAATTATTCAATTGATTATTTCAGTTGATTTCTCATTCAGTCTTCTTTGATTAATTGGTGCCCGCTGAATGTCTTTAGAGTAATTTGTTTCGCGACGTGGTGTTCGGTTTCGGCTGGTACGTCACGAGACTACTAATGACGACGGTTGTTAAATCAATTGCCGCAGAAGAGTAGCAATGACAGTAAGCACGAAGATAAAATACGATTTATGAGACGAGTTTATGTGACAGAATAAATACATCCAATTTGAATAAATACAGATTATGCTCTCTTATATCGGATAGTAGCTTAATCCCGCTCATATCTTTTATAAATAAAAAAATGCTCCCCCTTCCCTCGAGAGTTTATGCCTTTCGATAAAAATACGGTCAAATTTTCCATCTTTCGCGCAGAGTTGCGGCGAGTTTAACGTTAAACAACGACAAAAAAAAAGAGACGACAGAGTGAACGGTGGATGCTATTGGAAAAGCGATCTAGCGTTTTACTCGCGGCGGGCGAGCGCTGGTTCGTTTGTCTCCGTGAAAAATGCTGCTTGGACCGTGTGTTTTCTCAAGTAATGAGAAGAACAAATGAGAACGGGGCAACGTCGGCACCCGATAGAGAGAGCCCGGGCGCAGATTGTGGAAGGGCTTTACGGTATGACCAACGTGTTTGTCTCCACGTTGTTAAGTTGCCGCGCGGACTCTCCGAGACGTCGCGCGTCCTCACTTTCGCGTGGGTGCTCGGAAAATCGGCTCATATATGGCTCGATCCGCGCGTCTAATATTTTCACTCAGGAAAAATAGGTGTACATTAACCATTCCGACGCGAGGGAGATAAAAATGGGCGATAAATCCCAATAAAAGTTAATAGCCGGACGTGCTAAATCCGTGTTTCGCTCTTAACAGAGACGCATCAATAATATCGTATCAATTTTCCATTATCACCGAGAACAGCCGTATTTACACTGTTCTGCACATTTAACTGCGACGCCCGTATCGAGGCGTGTATATTTAAGCGCGTGTGGCGAGAGGTGGGAAGAGTTCAATAAAATTGACCCAGGCCCAGGACGTTGAAAACCGGTCTCTATAAATCTTCCATCGCGCGCGCAAACGTAACGTCGCCTCCCAATCTGTTGGCATCAAAATATTTTGCATATATCGATTTCCGGTCGCCGCCGGGGCGAAACGGGAAGTCGGACCGAAGACGGGTCAATAATAAATCCCGGATTTTTCATTATGATGGCGCGGAAGATACTCGATGAAATATGAAAGCGTGCGGCTGCCTTTACGCGAGCAACTCTCGCGCTGACATCACTTTCGTGCGCCGATTATTTATTGCTGCTGGCAACGCGCGCCCTTGGCGCTACTAATTATGGTGATTTCTGTTGTGTAACAGTTACATAATTGTACATTGATCCGAAAGTGTTGCTTCGGCATTCAAATGAAACCTAATAAAATCTGAGCGTTGGTACAAAGATAACATTGCGACCAACTAGAGATGTGCGAGTCAAGAATTTTTTATATTGAATCGAATAAAATCGTTGAAATATGATTTTTAATTAACAAAATAATTATTCCAAATAGTAACATTTACTTCGCCAGTGAATAATTAACAGTAGAATTTTTACTTGAACCTACTGACTATCATTTTTTAATCGTCAAGACAATATAACTATTATTAGATTAAATTTTAACACGTAGATAACAAAAGATTATTTTAATGTGAAAAATAATATTAATTATATAATATAAATTCTTTTTAAAGCAAAAAACATACTTAAATATTTAATATAAAACTAATAAAATATACTTTATTTAATGTCCCAGTAACTGAAACAATTAGGCAAAAAAACATAGATAAATTATTAAAATACTCTTATGTAATATTCAATATCATTACCTAATTACATACATATAGAAATTAAAATAAAATAATATAGTATATTTATTTTATTCATCAATATTTATTGCTTACTATTTTATTACGCATATTCAAACTTTTACTTATAATTTGACAGGGTCATAAAGCATATCAAAAATATAAGAAATAAACTTTTGACTGCTACTTAACCACTCAGTGAGTGGTTATAATACTGAATATCGCACTTTTTCTTATTAATAGGAAATAAAATTTTGTAAATTGACAGTGTATAATGTATATGATTCGTATTCGATCCATCTAGTTTCGAAATTTTCGATTCAATAATCGAATCATATACTCAGAGAAATGGACAGTTCGTTCAAAAATTAGCAAATGGATAATCATTAATGATCAATTATTAATGATATCCGGCTATCATTGATTGGACATTATTCTAATCTTGATCGGGTTTTCATAATTCCGACTAAAAATATCAGATTATCCCTTTGTTAATTTTTGAACGAACTGTCCATTACTCTGAGGGTAGAAATTCGAATTTGAAATAGTTCACACATCTCGCGGCATTATCGCGGCCATGTGAAATTAATTCGTGTTTATATTGCGTTTATATCCTCCTATATCCTGCACGTCCCTGTGCGGCGGCGGTCGCATAAAGACTCGCGATGAAATCGTATTCGCGGCCGAGAAGAGTCCGCGCAGGCCGTAAAAACATCGATTAGCCATAAAACGAAGACGGGGCGAGATGTTTAAAGTTTTCCCGTTGCGAAATGAACCATTAAAGCAGCGAGCGAAGACTCTCAAGCGCCTCGGAGCTATATCGCGACCGACGAGAGTGCCTTAAAGCACGTGCTTCAAAGGCCGGGGGTTTTATATCGGCGTTTTTTATCCTGACATGGTATGCATACACGGCGCAGTTATATTACATTACAACGGTACGGTCAAGAAGACGCGCAACAGCACAGCAATGCCGAGTAAACATTTTTATATATTTGATTTTCCAAGGTTGTAACCGAAACGCGATAACGCTATTAGCGGATTACGATTCGCGAAACGTCGATTCTCGAGGGCATGAAATGAGATTGGAAGTTTACAAAAATATAGACGAGAGTATATTGTTCCTTTGTGCGGTGTGTTTCGACGATGAATATATTTTGCGGGCAGAAAGAGAAAAAGCCTCAACGTAGATAACAAAATACTTTACGTGCGCTTAGTTAATACTCGGGCAGAACACAACGAAATATACAGCGAAAACACGGTACGGTACGGCACAGTGCGGCGCACTGACATGTAATTTACCATCTCCTTTGAGAGGCCGATGTATTGTTCCACAAAGCTCTTCCCGTATTATTATCTCTTTGAATACATCAGCGTTATACTCGAAATACCGCGCCGCGCCGAGAGAGAAGAGAGCCTCTCGCGAATTGGTGCTCTAAACGTCTGCCATTTTGTCCCCTTCAATACTCATTTGCATACCAAGAATAAATCCGGTAATATCGTGCTCATTATTATGTTAAGAATATACGTGTTAAATAAACATACCTAACATTATTAAGAAATCTAGGTGATGAGGTCAGATATTTTCATAAATTTTCAGATATACGTTTATATAACTTATTAGTATCACATTAGAGCGTCTGAACAGTAGTTCGTAACCCTTCATTCACTGTAACAAATTTAACATTTTGCTCCGTCAGCTTCAAACAAAAATAGAATAAATCTACAATGAAAATTTTAGATATTTTTTTATAGAAAAACTAATTTATTACATTTTGTTTAAAATTTTAATAATGTATCATATCGCTTGAAGCATTTGCCCAGATTTCCTCTCACAGCAAAAAAAACAGTTTCCTTTCATATTAAATTTAGGTGTCAAAAATTCAAATTTGTTATTCTACGACACAATAATAAGTAAGTGCGTATATAAACAAAGTAGTAAGCATAAAAAATACTTTTAATTAAAAAGATACAGGAGAAAGCACCTATATAAGAATTTTATGTCGAATCTAGCTCGATACTGAAGCTGCTAGAACGGAATGTCGAGTTCCAACATAATTTTCCAAAATTCTATATAGAACAACGTGTATAATTACATATAAACTGTTAAAACCGTAACTTGTCACAGTGTTACTTCTTCTAAATCTCCGCGATGTAAATGACCATTCTTTTTCCAAGAAACTTCTATTTCTCTAACGGATGTACGCGAGGTTACTCAGGGAAAAGTATGTTACGCACAGCCGTGAGACGTTAACGCGCAAGAGAGGAAAGCCGAAGGAAGCGCGACGGCGAGTCCCTTTGCGGGGGAACTTCGGCTCTGCTCTTTTTCCACCGCGATGAAAAGCAGGTTGGCGCGATAGGTGCAAGAGCCGAAACGTTATTCATCCGGGTCTCTTTAAAAAGTCATTTCTCTGAACGTCTATCTCTCCGCTATCGCGGATGCATGCGCGCGCGCGGATCTCGCGCTGCATTCTGCACGAGTTTGCATGAAATGCCTAGCGCCGACTTTTGTGCGCGTTTTCCTCTCGCGACGGCGGCCTGTCGTGCAAAACGAGACATGGTCGGTCAGTCGGTCGGCCGGTTGGTTGGTCTGCGAAACCCGACACGACGACGGCTCCTATTCATCCGCGATTTCATGCTGAAATAGTGTGTGCCCGACCCTCTCTTAAAGCCTCCGACACTCGACGTTGGAGAACCTCGAAGTTGGTCGGATGGAAAACTTGAAATGCCTTAACAAGCGCGGGTGACACAGATTCGCGCGCGAACGTGTGCTTTTGTTGCGTTTCCCGCGGTGGGTCGTATACGTTTCTCTCGTTATAATATTAGTAATAGAAATTACAATCTAGAAAATCATAGCGATATTTGAGAGCATACCGGGAACTAATAATAAGCATTTGCAGGCTGTATCTATTATTATTAGATTATATCTTCGAAGAAACATTTTTTGATTTTTATCTTCCTAATGATTACCTACACTTTTCACAATGTCACTGATAGTATAATCAATAAAACACAATATTTTGAAAACCGGTAAAAAATATAATACCTATTCATTTCATTAAAGTGGATTTACGAAAGAATATTTGAAGAATGGTAGAAAATGGTACAAAATAATACTGTTAACAAGGGATCAAGGGTCTTCGACGTCGACTTGCTTCCTCTTGAAAAATATGTTATCAGATATCAAAATATAAGGAAATATTCTCTTATACATTCCCAATCTCCAGTTTAAAAGATAAAATCTGCTTGAAAGTTTTATAGCTTTAATCCTCTTTCGGCAATATTTTCAAAAATATCTATTACATCAAAAAATGTTTCACATAAAGTTATTTATTTGCTTTTTATCATAAAATTAAATAACAATAGTAAAGTTTTTATATATTTCTTGTTTTTTTTTCCAAAAAAATCTCCATCCATTTTTGTAAAACTTATTATTATTTTTTAATTCTATGATAAAAACCGGATAAACTTTATTTTTCGATGCAATAAGTAATTTTTATAAAACTTTCAAGAGGTGTTTTTACCCTTGAAAACGTGTAAAAAAAAATTAACATCTGTTAGATTTTTATGCTTAATAATATATTTTAAGGAGAGACGAATCGGCGTCGAAAACTTAGATGATGTCTCTCGTAAGAGATTGTTACACGAATAGAATGCTCGATGCGATGTCGAAAAAGCGCATTTGTTCCTTTAGTTCGGTTCAAACAGAGCGTACGGATGCGCGGATACGATCGCACAAACTGGCTACTCGATCTAATTAATCAGCGACCCGTTCGTCCGCCACAAGTACACTACGCTTCATCATTCAAAAAGTACCTCTCAATACAAAGCGAGCAGTAAGGGCCGGTCGATCGATTTATATTTCGTGCAACGAAATTGAAATGAAGCGGTTAATTAATTAATTAATGGTTTAGTATCTCGACGAAGCGGTTTCGCAATTTCCATTGAAATTCATAAAGCAATTTCGAAATTAAGTCGCAAGTCTCTTCATTCCTTTACCGTTCGAAAGGGTTTCCCCTCATTAGTGCAAAATATGCATGATCCTGCAGGAGCGTATAATTTTTTTTTTTTCAAGTGAGCTCGCTATATTATAGTATACATCACGAAGTTCTATACACGTCAATTTTACTGGACACAGAGGTTTAGAGGTATTTCTTCGCAAAGAAGAGAAAAATTATTCTTTCGACCAACTGCTTAAGTAGCTACTCACCTTTGTACTTGGTGCTGCTAGAATTGGAGCTCGATATTGCTGAAAAGTAAATAACAGCGTTCAGTATTATTCAAACGATGCTGCGTCGTACGCTTCAAAGTGACGTCAAATATCTAAAGCGTCAACTGAAGAATCTCTCTCGAGTCGGGGGGGAAGGGGGGATCTTCGGGAAGGGCGGTTCGAAAGGGCCCGGCGGCGTTGTAGCTGAGAAATAACGAAGCGAGCAATAACGCGGATAGTCCTTTCAAGTCACACTCTCTAACTCGCGACTTTGTTTACGCGTTGCCCTAACTCGCGAAGGTTCTAACTTCTTGTTATCTTTCACTTTACTGGTGCAAACAATTTCAAACGGTTCGCAGGTACCAGCCCTCGTACACCTCGCCTTCGTTTTCAACGCGGGAGGGGAGGGGGCAATTCGCACACCGGTGGATATTACTCGCGACTGGTAAGTAGTAGCGCGACGGTTGAGTGCGCCTCAAGAACTTTCCTCGAGTCGTGATTCCGAATCGGTATATAGGCGTCCTCCCGCAACCGCCGGAATATTTTTGCGAAATATTGTTTTATTCATAAGCGCGAGCGCTTTTAAGAATATAAGGTCTGGGGGGCCGGATTTCACTCGCTATCTCGGTAGAAAAATTCCAACTATTTTAACGCAGCTGCTGCTTAATAAGCTGCAGCCAGTTATGCGAGCGAAGCACGGCGCTACTTTGTCGAATCCAGGTATGCCTAGCGAAGTATCTTGTACATACATATAATGGCAAACAATGCAATTTTACTACAATTTATTCCGCGGAATCTCCGCCGTATTAGCCTCGGCTAGACGAGAATCGTTAATATACATCGCGGAGCGGAGGAAAACGCGGCGGGGGAAAAACATTTTTTTAGAGTCGAGATATAACCATAATTATACTTACGATAGACTTTAATGCTGCCGTCAGTGTCGCCCAGCGAGTTCCTGGACACACATTTATACGAGCCGTAATCCGCTGGACTGACGGAGTTTATCGTCAGCTTCATATGTATTTTGTACGCGTTATCTTTCAGCACCGGATCGTATTTTCCTCCTGCAACAAATCGCAATTCCCGTCAGTAATGCGCTGCGTAGTTCTATTCATCGTTTCTTTCTTTCTTTTTTTCATTATCGTTAACCTAAATGATAAATTTGTCCACGGTATAGCCGCGCCAGATTACATCGATCGAATTAGAATTAGAGCGATGTATTCGTTCTCTAAAAAAAAAAAATAATAATAATAAAAGAAAAAATGATATGCGCGCGTGCGTGGATATTATATCCGCGCTCTTTGTCCCAATTCCAGAACAAAATCACGCTTAAATCAACCAGACGCATGCCAAAATAAAAAAAAATTAAAAAAAAAAACACAAAAAAATATTTCGCTTTTCTGTCATGTGCTGTCAGTCACGTTTGCCCGGGGTTACCTGTCATTCCCTTGACGTGATTTACTCTTTCGGGTGGAGCTTGAAAATAGAAGTACCGACCGAATAGGCGGGTATTTTTATTGGAATATGCGGCGGTAATCGAGGGCTTTTAAATAACCGTCTGTCCTTCGCGCATCCACGGTAGGTATGTGGGTCAACCGGCGTGGCGACAATACGAAAAATCTCATAGAAGGGACTCGCTCTCGCGAACTGCGCCTTCCGAACAATGGCAGGACACGGTTGGATGAGAAAACCGGAATTTAACAAAGAGATTCTGTTTCCTAATTATTTCCTGCCGGAGAAGTCGGTCGAGCGATTTAATAAGTGGCTGGCGCGATCTATCTGGACGTCACCCGTGTCTCGTGAAACTTTTTCTCCCGTGTTCCGTGATTGATTTTACACAGACGTGGCTTTTTTCGATTCACCACGCTCGGAAGGATCGTCATGAAAGTTTAAGCAGCAATGCAACAAAACACGTACGTTTTTCGTAGCACATAATTAAATTTCTTTACTGTGGCAAAAGATTGATGTACGATTTTGTGTTTGAATTTCGATAATTATTGCCCACTCGCTTGAGAATAAACACGACTATAAATTTTAAGTTGCTTTCGTCGGCAGAGAGAGAGAGAGAGAGAGAGAGAGAGAGAGAGAGAGAGAGAGAGGTCCACGGGCATAAAAACAGACAGAAAATCGCTAATGTTTTTTTAAAATGTTTTTTTATCGAAATAACGCACCGCATGGAGATTATCCAATATTTGTGCAAATATCTGTTCCATTATTTCCCGACCCTATATATGCAATTTGTCAATTTACGATTCTCATCGAATTCTGTAAACGGCTCGTAATAGTGTGGAATGGCGAATATCAACATTCACGATCGCGGAAAGCGCATTATCCGTTCCGGGCTCATTCTGAGGCGAATCCAAAGTACGTTCGGTTCACGAATGTTATCCCTTTTATTGTATTCCGTTTTGCATTCCGGGCTTTTCGCGCGACACCACCCGTGGACGCCGTTTGGGATCTTCTTCTTCTGAGCCGAGAACCGGAAGCGCCCGTTGAATGGCGCCCGCCCGAAACCGAAATCACGTTAACTTAAGACCGTCGCGCGTCGAATACCGAAATAGCCGCGACGTACGGCGCGGGCGCTACCCGTTTTCCGACCTGATTGAACTATTGTGACGTCGACAGCCACGGGGAATTCGTAGACGACTGTTCGATCCGAACGACCCGTTTCCGACCCGAAATCGAACGCCATTTATTACGGCGCCGATCGGCAGGGACGATTTGCCGGCCGTTCTGATAAAACGCGGGATCTTTAGATGTTTGGATTGATTATGCGAGCTACGTCACGCGGGCAAATGCGAGCCATAGAAATCGTCTGACCTCCTCGACGACGTTAAATTGTAGCTTCGGATTCAGAGATGACTTCCGGCGTCTTGAACGGAATATAGACGCGCGCGCGCGCGAACCTCGACGTTCGAGGTACCGAAAAGCGGAAACTATAAGGAAAAATGCGAAAATGTCTATCGCGAGGATATCAATCTCGGAAAACAGGATTGACTCACACTCGACTCACATTCGATCGAAGTATCATCACCGTCAGTCGCTGCCAGTTCTCGATAAAATATGGAGAATTTTTGGATTCCGCCAACGAACCTCCTACACCGGGCGGGATTTATGGAAACTGTCTAAACTGCAATTTTATCACCTCGCAAGTTAGTGTTTAACATTTGGTGAAATATAACGAGCGAAGCGAAATAACGCCCTTTAATACTGCTCGAGCCGGCCGACTTTTCTACTGTTTAAGAACTCTGGCAAATTGCTGCAAAGTCCTCCTGTACGAGTGCTTAAAAAAGAAAAGGCACAAAACTTTCTCTCGCGCCGTTTCGTAAGTAAGAGAAAATTATTGAGATAACAAATACTTTTGCGAAAATTCAGGGCTCTCGCCCTGATGTGAGAATTTGCCGATGATTGACAGTTCGGCCCCATTTTGTTTCCAAGGGAAAAGTTCTATTGTACATGCTGTTAGCGCAGATGATTTAAAGACGATTCGGTTTGTATAGGGCGAAACTTAAATTATACCGGGTGAGTCGCCAGAAAATGTAGGTTATTGAAACCTTTGATATAAATAGCGCTATGAATACCGGATTTCTTAATAAAAAAAAAATAGGTTGCATTTGTAGGTCTGTCTGAAAAAGTCATCATTCCGTTCTTAATTTATTGTCAACAAAAATATAACATAAATCAAGATTCGATTATATTATAGTCATTTATAGTTATTTATAGTCACTATATTCAGTTTCCTATCACGTGTAAATTTGCGCCAAACGATTTCTCACTTACGCAATTTGATTGTAAAACAACCTGTCTTCGAAACAGCTCGCGGCGGGTCTGAATTCGGAATGGCAAAACAAAGGCTTATTATAAAGTGAAATTACGTTTATTACACAATAATCCGATGGCCGGGATAGCCAAGCAAAAGGCTCGCGCGGTACAATGTTGAGTGATACGCGTATACTTCCAGAAGTCGCGGTCGTGCTGTTAGGCTATTACTCCTGCTGGCTCGAGGCGCGGGAATTTACAATAGCTGTGCTGGCGCGGTAGACGTACAAAAACGCGCGTGCTTATAATGATCCTCGCGGGATAGCGCTAGCGATCGGCTACGCTTACAGTGCGATCGAGACGGGATATCGATGCGCCGCGGGCGGCGCGAGGTAAATGTCGCGATTGGCTGATTAACGCGATGCGTACGGGACGGAGATGGTTTTTCGGGGTTCGCAGGTCGAATATCATCGCGTGACAACTGATTGGCTCGGGCGGAGCCGGTTTTCCCGATGTCGCGGATCGGAGCGCGTAACAATGGCGCGAAGCGCGGACGCGGAGATGAGATCGCGCGAGATTCCGTTCGGATGGACGGAGTGCGGAATCCGCCGAGACGCACTCGACGGAGGTAGAGGACGGAGTCTCTATCCCGGCTGTAGGCTGGAACGAAGGAGTAGATTCGGATCGAGCCGGCCACCGAGAAACACTCGGTGGAGACAGAGAGCGGATTCTCTACCCCGGCGGTGAGCTTGTTCAAAGAGCTCGATCGACAATGAGAAATCCGCCGAGACGCACTCGGCGGAGACAGAGAACGAATCCTCTACCCCGGCTTGATAGCTGTGGAGATGTGTCGGGAATCAGTAGGTCGCCGAGACACACTCGGCGGAGACAGAGAAGAAGGATATTTCTCTACCTCGGCTGATAGCTTAGTGAAATGAATCGGGATTTAGTCGGTCGTCGAGACGCACTCGACGGAGACAGAGAAGCAGGATTTCTCTACCCCGGCTGATAGATAGGCTCAGGATTCAGCGGAGATAATCGGTATGAGCTGGTGCTGGATCACGGCGGAATCTGATACCTAATTATTAACAATCCGCGAGATTATATACCCCGCGGATCGGCGATGCTGGTAGCGAGGGATGATGCCGGCGCACGCGAGCGTCGGGTTTATACGACGTGGTCCGGAGACGCCCGACGCCGCGACGCCGCGACGCCGCGACGCCGCGATCGCGCTCGGCAGTGTTCGGGCGACGTCGGGTTCGCTCGGCTTGTGAGCCGGTGCCCCGGATCGCGACTTCGTTAGGACGATTCTAACAATGTTTAAAAAAAAAAAAGGTGGGCCCGTTCCTCGCCCGGCGGATGGCATCGGGTTGTCGTTCAGCCAGAACGATGCGTATTTTCCGGGGCGCATCGTTACATTTGTAAGAAAGATATATAAAGCCCAAATGATTCACTTTCTCATCTGATTGACCAATCGTTTCTCCTTCGAAAACACCACGGTATTTCCAGGCTTGACGTCGCCACCGAGAACCCATTTCCGATCTAAACGGGCGAGGTTCGACGCTATCTGCCACGGCATCAATCACGGTACGTCTTGTTAAAACGCGTGAAATCGCCTCCAATCATTTTTCTAGTCACGCCATTCGTACATGCATTCCCGCGTGCCCCTCCGCGCTCGCGGGGATATCTCTCACTCCTAGGAACGCATATAATCGGCACTGGGCGAATATATTACCGGTCGTTGTTGTTCGCGGGACGTCTCTCATCGATGTAATCTCGTGGAAAATAACTTAACGGTTCGATGACAGAAACAAACGTCAACCCGTATTAGCTTTGATCACGTTTCGCGGCCAATAGCCGAGCGCAAAAAAAAAGGAGAAATGCGGGACGAGCAATCTCTTCTCTGACGTGAGGCCGGTCAAAAGCGAGCGCGCGGGATGAAATTTTCACAATCACACCGCCCCGTTCCGCCGGGTCTGTTTATTTGAATGCTTTCAATTAGACGCAAATGGAAATTGGCCGAAGAAATGAAAGAAAACACAGGGCGTGCAATTCGCAATGGAATGTTTTCGCTACCCCGAGGCTAGAGCCCCGGCCGTTCATGCCGAAGTGCACAACATTGTAACGAATATGTAACCATACAAAAAAAAAGGACAGAATGAAGCAGCCGTACGCCGTTTGGCTCTCTCGAAAATGTATTGACAGTAACTTTCGGAGTGATTTAATCGCTCTCCGCAGATCCTAAAGTGCAGTGTCTACCCGGTTGGTTTTCCGTTTCGTTATCGCGCCATACAGATCAATGCGGGCATCTAAATTTCGATGGCGCTCGTTGATTAAAACTTCATACTATTTGCTCGGGGAAAAAAAATTTTTCCACTTTCCGTAACATATAATTTATTGGGCGGGCGAGTGAATTTTATACGCGCGACGGTGTTTACGGTGATCAAAACTTTTATCCCCCTACCCCCTCCCCTCCCCGTTTCGCTTTACTGCTATTAATCCCATTACTATTGATCGCAGCGCGCGCTCAGCATTGCATAAAGAAAGATTTTCTTTAAATTTCTCCGATGAATGAGATCCTTTAATGCCATTTTATCCATGAATCTAATCTAGAAGTTAATTCCTTAAATGAGTTTCCACAGGAGAAGCACGGCGCTGCTTTTAATTTACACGCGGTTCGGTCCGCGTATATCTTCGAAATAAATGCGGAAAGGAGGAGGAGGGAAGGGGCGGCAATATGGCGATTACAAGGGGGCAATCTAGTTTTTAATACCGTCAGATTTATTTATTTAAGCAGCATCAGCCGCGAGTATGCGCGCGCGCGAACATCTACGCGCGGCCTCTTCTTTTCGGGTCGTTTATTCGACCGGAATTAGCCTCTGAATAATGCATGCGAATCCTGGTAACACGTTAAAGGTATAACACGATTTTATCTGGCATTTATGAGGAAGGCTAAGGACACGGCGCGAGTATGTGTATATGAAACGCCAAACACGAAACTGAGGATCGTCCTTTTCTACGCCGGCCGTTATTACATCGCCGGCGCCGCCGTGGTTAGCATTTGCATCTGTATCGAACGCAATAATGTTGCGGCACAATGTGAGTTTTGACTCCCTCCGATCGTGTTAACACGTAATCCCCGCGCGTCCGAAGATTTCTGTCAACTTGTTTCAATGAAAACTGGAAGGCCATAAGCATATTTCGCGTATCCCTATAATAACGCGGGATAATTATGTTTACCCGTAAAGTGTATAAACACGTGATTCACACATACAGCAACGGAGAATAAAGTTACAAAAGGCAATACAAAGGATATAAGAGTCGTAACGGTTATATAGCTAATTTATCGTTACGCGCTATGCCTCTCGACCGTTGAACGTGACTAATGAACGCGCGTCGACTACCGCGTATTTCATAATAATAACGGTTAATCTCCGCCGTAAAAGCGCGGCGTAAACCGCGCAGCTTCCTCCGGGGCGATTGAATGCGCCCGACAGAAGCCGCACGGATATGGGTACATTCGTGATACGCGAAAAAAGATACGGATCCGAAAGGGATCGATGGAAAGTACTAAAGCCGCCTTTTACAGGTGGCGCATAAAGCAGAAGCGAAAACGCTTATACTCGCGCTTCGCCGGTGTGCGTGTTTATGCGTTCGGTATGAAGCTTTCATTATTCAGAGGGTTCGTTACAACCAGTTATTTTCCTTCCTCGCGAATGCACACTACGCGGAGGAATACGCGTCGAGGGTGTAATTATCTCTCCCCCCCCCTCCCTCTCTCTCTCTCTCGCGTGACATGAATCAACAAAAAAAACGATACATGCGTGTCGTGGTGCATATAACGAAATTGTAAAGTCATCCCACTTTCCACCAGGTCATGACTCTTTCATGAAACGAAAGAGTCTCTCTCTCTCGTCGTGAGTGATCGCGAATTCTCATTACGCTTAATTGCAACATCGTGTAGTAAAATATAATATAGGTAATGAGTAAGGTAATAAGTTAAAATATATAACAAGTTAATAAAATATACAATAAGTTAAATTATTATTTATCGGAGATAAGTGTGCTCACCTTGCGGCACAATCTTGTCCTGATCTCTCGTCCAATAATTGATAGACTTTGGGAACGCTTCTGAATAGCATTCGAGGGTCAACTTCTGGCCTTCTTGGGCACCGACTAACTGATTCTGAACCCAGATCATCGGCGGAACTGAAACAATCAGCGATGGCGTGTACCCAACTTTTAAATTTCAAATTACACGGTATTCTTCATGAACACTTGATTATTTACATAACTCTTTTTAATAATTACCCTTTATTTTTTTATAGCTTTGTGAATACAAAATGTCACTTCTCATGTTTAATTCATATTTCCTCTCTTTTTTTTTCAGATTTTTTACAGTTAAATAAATTGTCGACAACTACTTATTCATATTTTATGGTAATAATTTGCCTCCCTCCCCCCACCCCCAAAGAAACATCTCGATACAACTGAATATGATAAAAATTGATACAATTTGAAATTGAAACAGATGAGACCGAATTTAATTCAAAATCAGATGCACAAGGGATGAACATACGTACAGTGCACAGTGAGCATTATTCTTTTGCTGACGGAAGGGGGCACGCCATTGGATGCGATGCATAAATAGGAACCCATATGTAGCCGGTTCACCTTCGTGATATTGAAGCTCGGGCCGTCCACGCTCGCGACTGAAATTAGAAAAATTAATTATAATAAAAGATCATATAGTAATAGAGAAGCAAGATACGTATGAAATATAGGGATTTAATTATCGAAAATAGAAACGTCATGGTAAGATAAAGTGACAACGTGATTCGAACGTAATACGAATATCATTCTGTAAAATATTCCTGATCGGCACGTTCATTACTGTCAGAGAGAGGAAAAAAATCATTTGTCGATAAATAACAAAAAGGGATGGAGATTTTCGCCGAATGAAAAGGATTACAACTGCAGGCTAGAAAGGTATCAATAAGTTTGCAACGGGAATTTCCGCGCGAAATATGATCGATGTTATCGATGATAAATCGAGGTGGATGTAACTTTTACGCTGTGACATCGAATGCTTTTGGTGTCAATCGATTTTTTCCCCCATGATGAAACATGGAAAACGTACGTCGGACCTCAGTGAAATTCGCCAAATTTTTGTTTTTTATTCTCGGGGATGTTACGGTTTCCGGGGAATTTCGATAAAGTTATAGCTATAGACAGTTTGGCGCACGGGAAAAGTGCGTGACGCCCGATCGACGGACGGGCCGCTTTGACGTCGATATTTTTATTAGCACTGGCAGCCCGAAACGGCAGAATTTTCAAAAATCTTCGGGATTACGTTCTGTTAAAAAATATCGTTTCGCCCGTAGCATATCGCTTTTACTGGTCGGTTTTTAATTTTCAATGATGTCACAGTACGTATGGAAAGGAGGATTAAAACACTTGCTTAAACATTAAAAAAAAGAGGAACGGTTAAGTTATTCCGACACAATTCTATTTAATTCGATCAGTGGCACGAATAACGTCGAGATAAGGTTTTTTTCCCGCACTTTGCATTGGAAATTTCACCGAGTCATATTTTTAAACGTGTGTTCGTCCACCTCAGTGAAGTTCACGAAGTACATTCGTGCAACTTTTTTGATGTCAGTAACCGTCGCACGCGACACGACGGAAATTGGTTGCCAAAGTTCCATCGCTTATACGTTTCAATTTGAAAACGCGGATTTGGACGCATTTAGGTTTTGCGCATACAAACGTATTCTCGAATGCAAATGCTCCGTAAAATTATTACGATTATTATTACGTTTTTATGCGAGAGCGAAAAATATCGCACGCGAGAAAAACGCCTGGCACTGATTCGCATCGCGCGCGCGATCGCACAGGGAGCAGAAACTGTACGCGAACTTTTACCATTTTATCAATGTAACTATTATCGCCGGCGAAGAAGGACCACTTTCGCGCGCTAAAATGCACCGGGAAAATGTGCAAACCGTTTTGATGAATGACCGCATAATGCAGCAGCTGCGGGACTCGATTGTAAGCTGCTCCGAGCATGTGTGCGGCCTCTATAAAGCAATTTAAATTACTACATAGTACACCGACAATGCGCGATAATAAATAAAACATACTGTTAAATTTTCTGGAATATTGTTGTACGGAGTATCTCATAAATTCCCGTTACTCATAAACGCATTCGATAAAACGCTGAGTCGATTGTAATGAAAAAAAGAAACAAATATGATACGTAATATAAAATTCTCTGAATATTTAATACAAAATTATATTCAATTAATTCGATATTTAAATTAAAAAACTGCAAAAATATGAAAGGTTGAAACTGGTTCATATCTTTCCCCATCCACGCGTGTTCGAAATTCAAATAGCAATTTACGGAGAGCCCGTCAACTCTGGCAACACAAGCGCAAATTCAGTTTACTTATCCGAAAGTTGAAGGCTGCCTATGCCGTTCCACTTGACCGCAATTAAATTCGGCAAAATGTCTGTGCTCTCGCGTCGATGATAAATTAAATATTTTGCTACGCTAAAAGCAGTAAAAAAACACGTAGACACTGAACGATAAAAATTAGTGCGGGTCACGATGCGGGAATCGCGATACGTCACATATTAGAAGCTAATGACGCTAACTTTCTCAAGTTCGAGACCCGTTGAGACAAGATTACGACGTGTTACACGGAAGTTCCAAATAATCCAATAACACACTGCATCGTAACAATGTCTTGATCGTAATATCATTAACGCGTATTACAAGCTCATTATAGAAAACGGAGGTTTTTTTTTTCTAATGCCGTCAAACATCTGTCACGTCTTCAGTGACACCTTGGAGAAACTATTACGCGGGACCGCAGTATTCTTTCGAGAGGCAACCAGGTGCGGAGTGTTCATCCCGAGCGAATACGCCGGGGCAACCGATCACAGTCGAAGTGTCGCGGAGTCTCCCTTCTCGACGCCACCCTTTATCGGATTAATGGCGTAATAGCGGAACTATGGATAGCGTAATCGTGGTTTAAGGTCGGTCCAGTTGTTTATTGTCCCTTCCCCTCCCCCTTGCGCCGTGCATGCACGTTCCGTACCCCGGAGTCGCTGTATCGTGCGCTCGCCGTGTGTTTGCCAATTTCAATGCAAATATAGAAGATCTTCCTCGCGGTCTCTGCAAACGTATCACCTCGCTCTAACCTATTGGCCTCGCCACGCGGTGTGTTTGCGCTCCCATGCGACCGTCAGCGCGGCGGTTTGGGGTCCGAGGGCTTGATACGGCTCGAATGCACTCGCGCAGTTTAGCCCGAATGTATCTCCCGCCGCTGTCGCCGCGCCGCGTCGAGCGTAAATCTTTTTTCAGGCGGTGCCTTTATGGCACCGCGCGCGCGTAACGGAGCGAGCTTTTGGCGCGTTGCCGCCGCGTTTAGGGACGTTAGAGGGATATTTACTCGATCCCCGAGCTACTCGGATTTTGCGCGAGTCGTACCGATATCCTCCCGAAAGCTGCATGCGCGCCCTCATTTATCTTTCAGGGACCGGAAAATAATCTACGACGTTAAATTTGTAAATATTTAAAACTCGTCCGCGCTTTTTCAAGCGCGTTTATCAACGCGAATTGAGTTATATTATTTTTGAAAAGCGTTATATATATATCGCTTTTGCAAGTCGGCTATAAAAGTTGCAAACTTCATAAGCGAAGTTCTGCCTTCGTGTGCTTACATGTTACGCGAGTTCACAGCTCCGCGCGTAAGTAAAAGAAGAAAAAAAAACGAAGAAACAGATAAAATCAACGTTTTCATAACGGAAATATCAGTAAGAGCCGGCGCACAGTGGAGGAAATATAATGTAAAAAAGTTTATAAAGGACCGAAGAGAGAGACTAAACCCCCCGTATAGCTTTTCCGAGGCGAAACGCGGAGCGCAGAAATTTCGCGATCGTCCAGCGCGCGGAGCTAATGACACATAAAATACTTGGTACATTCCGTCGGCGAGCGTTTAAAAGGGGCGGGGGGAGGGAGGGAATGTGGGGTAAAAGCGCAATCCCGAAAAGGACCGCATCGCGAACGATCGTCGAGTGCACTTTGCCGAGCATCAAATGCCGCGTCTTTCGCCCGTCGTATTCGATTAGCTCTCGCCGTAACGAAGCGTCCGTCCGTCCTGTCCGTCCGTCGCAACGAACGGCCAGTGAGAGGCGACAGAGAAAGCGAGTCACCTTAATTCAGCGAAAATTTCCCGGCTTTATTACCGGCCCGACTGCGAATTACGCTCGTTCGCGGGCAGCTCGTTAAAACTCACCTTCCTCCCCGTTCCCGAGCTGAATCTGCTGACCGTCCTCGCGCCGCCAGGTGATGTTAGGCGCCGGGGAGCCGGTCGCGGCGCAACGCAGAGTCACGTTTCGTCCCTCCATCACCACCATGTCCGTGCTGGTGTCGTAGTCCAGAATATCGGGCGGCACTGTCGGCAGAAAATGCGCGAGCGTGAAAATTTCTGTATAAGCTGAGGGTGAGTTGGGTAACGCAGAACGTACGTGCGTTTGGGAAGAAAAAAGATATTCCGAAGATGAAGAGAGGCTCCGCGCAATCAGAGACCATCATACTCGTTCGCAATAATTATTTCAGCGAAAATCGTCATTACGATTACACTTATGATTTGTTCTCCGCAAAAAGTAATTTATTTCGAAAATATAGTATTATTGTAGGTATTGTATCAAATATTTAACACAATCACATTAGATAGGAAAGTATATTAAATCAAGGAAAACCGCGCTGGATTGGATAAACCTCCCTATATTTGTCTTTAATCCTCCTAATGGACGTGATCCTACAATCATACGATATCTAATAAAAGAACTTACATTCGGGGTATCTAGTTACTAGAAATTAGGAGTATCCCCGGCGAAGCGAGAGAGCACGGTGTAGTAAATCTGATCTGCCTGACATTACTGATGCGGCACGAGAGAGTGCACGCGCCCGCGAGCTTTCGCAACACTTAGCGCAACAATAACGCCCGTAAGTTACTTCTCTCTGCGAAGGCAGCAAAAGGGTGGACAAGTATATCTGTTCGTTCATAAATCAGCCGGCGTGGATTAACTCTCTCTGCATACGGCGAAAGGTGGAAACTACGAAGGGCGGCCTCCACGAAGCGCGCCGTTCACGTACAACGTACGGCGGGGCGACACGTGTGCATACATGACACGCGTGCAGGCTGCACGTAATAAAGTAGACAACGATAACGACGCGGGCAGCGGGAACGAACGCATCCGCGTCATCTCCGGCGGAAGCAAGCCACCCCAGCGCGCAACGATTCGCCCTACCTACCTATACCTACCGAATGTGTCGGACCTTTCGTATTCTGACGTTAAAGAGAGCGGAGCCGAAGGAGACGAGTTTCTCGTTTCGGATTCCATACTAGCCTCAGAGCCGGGAGAGAGCCGTGGGAGTTTCGCGGAGTTTAGAATAGCTCGGAATACACGGCTTGCGGGCTGTACACGTATATACCTACACACCCTATCGCTTCTCGTTCTTGCTTCGCTCGTCACATCCGTCATCAAAAATTCTCGAGTCCGTCTATATCTCCGGCCCCGGCCGGCGAGATACGAAATCGCCTCGCGCGACTTTCCGGGATCCAATTTTTCCCGAGAACGCGCGGACGCATTAAAATCCCATGTATACAAATGCAGATCGTTGAAGCTTACCGACCGCGCACTACTCTCGCCCCGGCTCCCGGTATAAAACGGCGGACTTTACGATCGCGATCCGGAAAGAATATCAACGCGCGACACGCGCGGCTCTTTGCGGAAATCATAATCCCGAGCGCGGCCCGGTTTATCCCGCGGCCAGGCTTTTCCATTTTGCTACACCCATTAAAGTCTACCCCGGGCTCTCTTCCTTTATCTTCTCTTTCTCCGCCTTCCTTTCGCGCTTTCTCTTTCCCTTTCTCTCTCCCTCTTTCGCTTTCTCTCCTTCTCTTTCTCACCTTCTCCCGGGATAAACGTGTCCCTCGCGAGTAATGTCTTACTAGGTTCGCTTACATGCGAATCGGGGTTCGAAGGTTGCATCGGTTGGCCGAAGGGAGGAGCAGGTCGGGGTTGACGGGGTCGATTTTATTCCGCCCTACGGCCGGAACTCGATTTGCGGTTGAGTGCCAGTATGGGTGATGCTGAATTGGCGGGTCAAAGCTACCCAGAATCTCCGCTGGCCACCAGGAGACCCCACTTCTCTTCCGCCGCTTCTACTCTCCGCACAATCGAGCTTCAAACATTTGTTCGTTCGTTCGTTCGTTCGTTCGTTTGATTTGTACGCATCTATTTGGAGACCATAGATTATGGTACCAACTACCAATGCAACTCGTGGCGCGCAGCATGCCCTATTTTATCAGCAATATTCGATCGAAACATACAATAGAGTATGTATACTGTATGTATCAGTATGTACTAAACAGTACGTAAATATGATAATACGTAAGATTAAGGAGAAACTTAAACATACAATCTTGATAGTATCCATTAATTAATGAATTTGCAGGGTCAATGATAGCAGTACAATGATTTTGGGAAATGGAGTTTTTTTTTCATCAAGTACAATTTTTATCATATACCGTGGAGTATTACATTTATGAAAAATAATTTTCGTTCGAAAGAGAGGTAAATTTATATTACAATATTTTTTATTTGTAATATATATATTTATATATATATATATACAGATGCATATTGTATAACATTTAAAATAATATTATTATTAAGGAATATATGTATATACTGTATTATATCTAAATATGAATACAGAACACATGATAGCGTACAATAGGTCACGAAAAATTATTCAAACTTTTGATATAATTAATTAATTCAAGGTTTTCTAAACTGAATTACAATTCAGTGATTTATGGCGATTTCTAACTGATTGTTCGAGCCGATGTATTCGGTGAAAACTTCGCAACAAATTGGGCATTACCACGGTTGCAATCCGCTTTTACTCCTCCATTCCGTCTACTATTCCACGTGTTTTGTAACCCCCGCAGACGGCAAACTACGAAACAAAACTCGGCGCAATCGCTCATGCGGCCGCTACTGTTTACCACCACATCAATCTGAAACCGAATCTTAACTCGTTATACGTGACTCTACATGAAGCCGTTATTTCAATATCGATATCCAGCCCCGAATTCAGATTTCCTCTTCGGATTTACATCAACTTTTTCTGCAGACTCGTGCACAAACGGTTAATGAATTTTCAGAAAGCTTTATCGCGCACGACAACCAACGTTGCGAAAAAGGATTTCCGTTAGAATTACACGATTACACGTAGCGATAACGTATACGCAATTGAAGCATCGGATATTTTTACAAAATATGGAAACGTACTTCGATCCGAGATTAGATTACCAATCATTTAATATAGTAATGGGCGGCCCAGTTTCCGTTATTCCGCACGTTTCGTTTTATGGTTTCTATCTCGTGCATTACGCGCCGCACACATTACGGTAAGCCATCCCCCGCCCCGGTCCGTCCCGTCCAGCGTCCATCATCCTCGCATCAATCCGGACTTAGTGCTCTATCACGTCTGACACCATGGATTATACAGGGATATAAAACAATTTTAATGCAAAACTTAACGCGTGAATCTACCGTTTTTTTTTTTTTTTTTTCAAGCGGACAATTATCTGACGCAGATTCGTGCGTGACACTATACCGTCTCGATGAACCGCGCGATTCACACGTCATTCGTAAAATGATTGTCATCGGTTGGACGAGATAGATAGGAATGTGGAACGCGCCGCTGACAACCGCGATTTCCGTACACAGCGCGGTATCTTATGTAACAATAACCATATGTAAATGGGTCTCAGTCGTTACAGCATTGCTGAACACCGCTCGGAATTGATATACGTCCGCGATACGCTCTCCTATACAGCACAGTTTATTCGCATTGTTCTGCACGCTGTGTCTGGTTATGATACCCCCGGCCGCACGCGGGTTGCAGAGAGAATTCTATATATTAAAGCAAAACCCCGGTATCGCGTATCAACCTCAATCCGCCTCGCCCATCCCGTTTACCGGCAACCAACCCCTCCGGTTGCTTCGGAGTCCTAGAAACTCGCCACTCCTCAACGTGACTATGCACTTCGTTTCATCTAACGTTGTTTCTGCAACGCCGAGGTGTTTACCGAGCGAGCGGGATGACCTCGACACCGATTTCGGATAACGACGGCTTTCTCTCTCTCTCTCTCTCTCTCTATTTCTGTCCTCGAATCCTCTTTAAAATTCGCGAGCATGTCGATGTTAAGTTGTAGAATTTGACATTCTATTAAATTATTTTTCAAATTGCAAATTTCGATTAGGAAAAAATTCGTGACATGTACGTCGTGTGTATATCGGAATTTTTTGTCAAAGACAATTTTTCCCGTTTACCCCACATTTTATCGACCGATCGATATTCGTTTACCTGACGCTATAAAGAAGGACACTCGTGAATTTCCCCGCTAAATGACAGTAATCAGACGTCCCGTCGTATTCCGTGCTTTTTGCGGCGTTGCACGGGAATCAGTCGTTCCCTCCTTCGAGCGGCGCTGGCGCAAAAATCCTCAGGCGAGGTAGATACTTGTATCAGGTATCAATCCAGCTCCATCTCGTCCATCCTATCCTAACAACCCTCCACCACACCGGATTCTCTTGGGCTCAGACCTGACCAATGGCGCGCTCGTTTCGCGGAACGTCGTTTCTACCGATGCAACTGACGTTGAGTAGCGTGGCGTGGAGGCGGGGGAGGGGTCGGGGGTTTAAAAAAGTGCAGTGCATCGGACGAGCGCCGCAAGCCGAGCGTGGCTTAATTTCGATGCGTAAATCGAACCGGCCAGCAGCCGGAGCATGGGTGGAGAAAGGAATGGGAATGGGCAGGCAGCGGGGGTTATACGGGAAACGTTTGCCTCACGTCGAAACACGACATGCCACGTAGCGAAGTTGGGAATTCGTTTCGAGCTCGGAAACGACGTTGTAACGAGTGCCGCCTGCAGGGCTATCGGGGGCGGGTCTTAGTAAATCAGCTGGGGAATAGACCAACGGGGAGAAAAGTTTGGCGGATTTATCTGCGGATCCCCTGGCTAACCCAGAAGAGTTATACGCGGACAATCTTAGGCCTCGCGGACGACGTCTCGTCATGCACGAAAGGCCTAATCATTAAATAAATCAATTTCACCTCGATATCAGGATCCATGGATCCTGAATAATTCGTCCAAGGTGGTTCATCCGTGACAACGCTGTCCAAAAAGTTAGTGATTAATACAATACGAAGTCTGTGCTAAACTTTGGAAATATGATTTATGACATACAACTTCTGTGACATTATCGAAATAAAATATCTCAATCTTTATATAATGTTTCAAAAGTCATAAAGAAATATTAATTTCTCGCGCTTTAACATATAGTTTTGAATGGGATTGTGTACTTTGCGTAT